GCAACAGTCAAGCAAGACGGAGGAAGTGTCATGGTATGGGCATCTATCTCGGAAGCCGGTGACGGAAATTTTGTGTTTTTTGAAACAACAATGGACAAGAGTGTGTATTTCAATATATTAAAGGAAAATTTACTCCAAAGTGCCAAGAAGCTAGGAATCCGACGTACTTTCCGGTTCTACCACGACAACGACCAGGACAAAAGCCAAGCATAAGTCCGGATTAGTACAGTCCTGGCATATCTGGTACTGCCCCCACATGATAATTCCACAGACCCAGTCTCCAGACTTAAATGTTATTTAAAATTTGTGGGCTCTGCTGGAAAATACCATCCGGAATCACAGATCCAATCTCAAGAATTCTCTGCTGGATGAGTGGAGCAAAATTAGTCCAGAAACGACCCGGAAGCTGGTATCTTCCATGAATAATAGGTTAAGGGAAGTTATTAAGGCTAAAGGGTATCATACTAAGTATTAACATCCTTATTCAAGTTTTTATACGCCAAATATGTTACTTTTCTAAGACTGCGCCAAATGAACTGTAACATGTATTTTGGATATGTTTTCAGTTTTAGACTAAAACTAAAGTTAATTTTTCAAACGTGATATAACATTATACAAATTGGCATTTAAACATTTTGCGTTTGTTTCTTTGTTTAAACCTTATAGCACTTTAAATTTTTTGCTAGGCACTGCGTCTTTTGAACTGTGAGACACTGTATATATAAAATAAAAATAAAAAAAACAACAGAAAACAATTTTATGAATTCAGGGCAAAACATCGTAAACCGTTAATAATTATTAGGTTAAATATGAGCATCTAATTTTGACTATAATCAAATTTTTATCGGATGTGTGTGAAACGAAAAAAAAACCAATCACATAAAGAGTTTAAATTTATACGGTTCACTCTTGGATTTTGCGCTTTAGGCAATGTGAAAATAATACGCACAAATAAATATTGGAGTATGTTATTGAATTAGAGACTTGGTGTTGAATGGCAGCTGTGTTGCATTTCATTCATTGTAATATTGCGATGGGGAAATCAAGTGCACATTTAATTGATTCAAAATGGCCCGTCATTATGATAATAAGCTCTAGGGAAATCTAATACCTATATTTATAATTTATATATAAATATTAATTATATAAATTATAAATTATATAAATGTGTGTGTCTCAATCTATATTTATGCAAAATAAGATGACAAGAATTATTTCATTGACATCGTTTTCTGATAAGAGCAATTTAATATCGAGTCATTTTGAGCACTACCAATTTCTATAAAATTAAATTTATCAAAGGCTCATACATTTATGTTATAAATAGCCATATGCTCGTGGCTCCTCCTTCTTTTTTAGATATATTTATATGTATTTTTCAAATCGACAATTAGGTGTAAAAGTTAGCATCGGAGACTGTGAAATCACAAGTGTCAATTGGCTATTCAATGGCGCTTAGTCATAGCTTGCAATGCGAAAAAATATTTTTAAAAATGCAAATGAAACAATTTGAAATAAGTCAAATTTGTAATGCTGTTGAAAATTTCACAATAAATTATATCATAAGCAGGTGTAGATAAATACAAATTTTTTGTCGAGCGTTGTGGATATGTTGATATATATGTGTATAAGCAACAGCAATCGGATAACTCGTGTTTATAGTTGAACCCAGCTATTGTTTGGAGATTTGATATAAGAGTTGCCTTGAGGGGATTTCTTGACTCTTTGCTGACTTGGGCGCCAAGAGTTTTCTTTATTCTTTGTTGAGTTGCCAACGGACGATAAACAAAGGAAAATCCATCATGTAAATATTTGGATGCGCAATAATGTATCTGTTTTTCTGTCTACGATAAGTACTGCTCTTGGGAACGGTCTTGCTTCGCGATCCCGGTGCAGCTTCCTAAAAATTCTCAAATATTTTTTAATCGATTGTCTGTTTAACGTACTCCTTAATAGTTGTAAGCCGTAAATTAATTAGCACTTTCTTGTCTTTTCGAGTACTTAATTGCCTATGCTTAGAAGTTGTTATCTCTATTATTTGAGTGTAGCATATAGTTAGAAATTATATTAAAATTTAGAGTTTAAAAAAATATATATGAACCCTGATGGGAGATAGAAAGATGCTTTGTATGGATCTTAACTATAACTGATATTTAATCATCTTCCAGAATGTTATTTGTATTTTGAGTTGTGAAATATTAAATGAAAGAACAACTTTTATTTATTTGTCAATTCAGTTCCGGAATTTGGGGCTAAAGAAATTCTTAAGCTTTGGTTTTGACTACGTTTTTAATTACAGTCGGGAAGTCGGGAATTAAAAAGATTTATGTAGTGTTCGATTTGAAGTACTTATAAGTGAAAGAATTCGTTTATTTTAAGTTATACATTTATTTGATTGACAAATGTATTAAAAATCATTTAAAAGTAGCTACAATAATAATAATATATTAATTTGCAAACGGGCCCCAAGATAGTTAGATAGATATTAATTGATACGATAGGATAACTGGAAGCTTAAGAAATATGTTGTAGAAGAACGTAATGCTTGCTGTTTTCTCCCTCTGGGCCTTCACAAAGTAATATATAAAAACAATTAGCAAGTAGTCCCCTAAGGCATTAGTCATTTAATTGCTGGCGCCTCATGTATTTTCCCTTTTGTGAAATGCAGTCATACGAAATATAATTGTGAATAATTGAATTAAGATCGCAAATTGGCCAGTCAGAAGGCCGCCCAATAAAGGTAAAAGTCACAATTGTGGTAAAAATGTTGCAATATCGATCTAACTGCGAGTAAATCAAATATAATGTGTACATGTGTATATGTATGCTTAGTATGTTTAGCGCCAATAATTAGCGGGGCAATTTCTTATGGCTAACTGCTGATTCGCGTGTGCTCGTCACAAGGCACATATGAGCATGTAAATCAAATGAAATCGTATCGAATCCAATCGTAAAAGTCAAAAGCCCGACTTGAGTCTGACTTTCATCTAAGTATTATTCGCTGCTCACAGCTTATGACCTGTTTTCGCTCTAGCCATCCATCCCCTCCCACCCCGCCTACGCTACGCGAAACTGGTTCAAGCGATCGTTTGAAGTACAGCCCCCCAAAGTCCCCAATGTGGAATTAATTCAAAACTCTGTCCCTGGTCTGCCGCCAGTGGATATAATAATGTTTGACTTGGCGTCGACGTCGACGTCAGCGCTCCGAGCTCAGTCGAACAGCTGTTTGTTGTTTATTATAAACAAACGGCGGCGTTGTCTGGCTCAGTACGCAAAAGATACTTCGTGGATACACATCGCTAGAGATATTCGCGGGCACGTTACAAGCGCGCGCTAAACGGGCCGTTCGTCAGAACACAGACCCAAAACCAAAGCAATCAGCAGCCAACTACTCAGTTTGTTTGAAAGAAAATCCCCATCAAATTGTGCGTTTCACTAACAATAAGAACAATTTTAAGAGCAGCTAAATCAAGATATTTAAAATTTCGTTGACTGCTTTTATTATTAGCCTAGCCGTGTTTGCCATTTCAATCCGTTGAACTTTGAAATAAATACATACTTTCCAAATAGTATATTGTGTATTTGCAAAAAAAAAAAAATATAAAATATATATTTCTATTCTTATTACGGCTGTCACAAAATAAACAAAAAATTGTGTACAATTTCTCGCAAATACGCATATGTTTTCTGTTTTGTTGTTATCTTCGTAAACAAATTTGTTTCGTGTTTTGACTTGATTTGTTGTGCGTATTCAAAGCTAAAAATTTCGTAATTATTTATATTGGTTTTCTTTTTCAGACAATTTAGTATTCTAAAATATTGTAATTATATAATAAAATTTACGTTAGTAATATTTTAATCAATATAATATTTTCTTTAATGGTATAATTACTTAAGGCTTAAAATTTAAAAACGTTTTCGTTAATTTTCGATTAATGCTGAGAATATTTCTGTACACATATTTGATAAAATACCCAGCCACATTCAACTTTTAATCCTAAAACCTTGAACCACTTTTTTTTTATTTTAATCGATTCTTAAACTGTGTATGAGATATCTTAGAAAAAAGTAATGCACTTAAGGCGGATCTTTTGCAATCACTTTTAACTAAAACCAGTTGTCAAAATGTAAAATATTCAAATTCGAAGTACACAAAAACCAATTCTGTTTGTGAACATGACATTCTCACACTGACTGACTTCAACTCAACTCGCATCTAGAGTGCTGAAAAAATATTGTAATTTATGCGTTCAGCATTTCATCAAAATAAAGTCGCATCGATTTGATTGCTTACGTATCTGTCACACGTGTTTATTCGACCCAATTAGTAGTCGATTACTTTGGACCAGTTGACAACCAGTGACATGCTTATTAGTCAATAATTATTAGATAACTCTTGATGTAGTTAGTTTTCTTTGTTCTCGTAACACCCAATCTACTTACTTACTGCTTAATTAGACTCATGGCTAATTTTCAGCATAAATATTTCAAGTGTTAAATGGATTTATTTAATTATTCAGTGCAACATATTTGTTATAGAAAAAAAAAATCGCCCTAAATGTGGCAACTAAAAGTGGCAAAACGTGTTTTGTAAAAATTTCGATAATATTATTGAGTATATTTTTAATTTCTTTGAAATGTTTCAGTATATTTGGGTCAGTTGCAATTGTAAATCAATGACCGACTTTCTCTTTAACAAAATGTTTATATTTTTAATTAAAATTTCCTTGCGTCTTATTTTTTGTTCACACATTAATAAATATATTGGGTTCTTTACCATTGTACATATACAATCAATTTAGTTAATATATGCACACTGATTTTGTTTTGCTATAATCGTCTGCTCATTAATTGAGAAATCACAAGGCTAACATCTTGGTTAGTAATTAATTGCCTATGTAAATTAGTTGTGGATCACATTTCAAATTGATTTCTCTTTTTCTTTATTTTTTATCATAATATTGAAGAAAACCAAAAGCTTTAATGGTTTTTATTTGCAGGCAATCCAGAGTTTCAAATGTGAACCAAATGTGTATACATTTATTACCTTTGTAACACAACACACACACAACACACACAACAGACACGCACACACACACACACCAGACACGTAACAAATTGTGATACGCCATCCAACAACAACACGAGCAGAGTGTCCAAGCAACAAATACACACCCATCAAAGTACACACACATCCAATACACCCGAAAGACGAGCTTAGAAAAGATCACAATGGATTTCGATCAAATTCTTGCCAAATGTGGTGACTTCAATCGCTATCAGTTTATGATACTCGCCCTCTTTGGCTTCATCAACATCATTGTATCATTGGTGAGTACATAAAGTCTATAAAATGCTTACATCTTATCATTAACATTATCCAACTCACGCTCCTTGCAGCATTACTTCACACAAACCGTGATAAGTTTCGTTCCGGATCATTGGTGCTATCATGAGAAGCTAGTTAATATGACATATAAAGAGATAGCTGATATCTATTCCAAATTTGAGAGTCCCTCATGCACCCGCTTAGCAGACATTAATGGTACCAATGTGACTGTCAGCACTGAGAGGTGCGAACGATGGATCTATAACTATGACTTTGGCTATAGAAGCATGAACACCGAAGTAAGTTCACTTCAGCAATATGTGTGAAATTAGTATGATACTCTTTTTGAGGGTATTTTATAAGTGTGCATAGAGTTGACGCCCTTAGCTAGGTCGCAGTGCTAGGATCTAAATTAGCTCCACAATCTATATACATATTAAGAATAATAAGAATTTACATCAATAAAAAATAAGTTATTTATTAAAATTAAAAGTAATATGCTCCTGAGCAAGCGCAAGCTTTTCTTAGATGATATAAAAATGAAAAGACAAACACGATTTTATTATACTTAGGATTCGAGTTGATAAGATCTTTATGTCAAGAAATGTCGGTTGGTTTGCTTTAGTAGACTCCATCTGAATATTTCTCAGTACAATTTTCATAAAAACAAAATGAATATAACTATCTGCAAAATGAATAACTTCGACAGAATAGGCAGTTGGATAGTAAGCACAAAGACAATTTTGTATTAAAAACAAATCTACTATCTTCTTCAGAATTTTGTTTTGGTAAATTTAAACAACTTTGAGACTAGGCTTTAATTAACCAAATTGGCTCTCATTATTGTTTACATTTATCGACAATCTATGCTTGCGTTTTTAAAATTCTTTAATAATAGTTGTTTGTTTCTTCTTTTTAAATTTGTGCACAATTGTAACTATATGTTTTTCTCTATAGCTCAACTGGGTCTGTGACTCAGCGTATAAGGCACGCATTGGACAATCGCTGTTCTTTATTGGGTCCGTTGTGGGTACCCTATTCTATGGTCTGCTGTCCGATAAAATTGGACGTGTACCAGCGCTGATATTGTCAAATTTCTGCGGCTTTGCTGGCGATTTCTCTACCATTTTTACGAAGAGTGTTGCAACATTTACGCTCTGCCGTTTCATATCGGGCCTGGCGGCCGATACCAACTTTTATCTCATGTACATTATAGGTGAGTCTGGTCTTTTTCACTTTGTCTCATTATAGTCTAACCAAGATGAACTCTATTGTGACAGTCCTCGAATATATCCGTCCCAGCATGCGAACCCTGGGTCTGAATATGGCTGTGGGCCTGTTCTACTGTCTGGGCTTGGTGTTTACGCCTTGGCTGGCTGTCTTAGCCGGACACTGGCAGATCTACTTGGCCTGCACATCGCTGCCCATACTGCTGGTGGTGCTCTACTATTTTGTGGTGCAGGAGAGCGCTCAATGGCTGGTAACGCGCAATGACATCGACGGAGCCATCGTTCGCCTGAAGCGCGTAGCACGCTTTAATGGCTGTCATGTGACCCAAGCGGAGTTTGACGAGTTCCGACGTCATTGTCAAATGACCCGCGAAATGCAAGGTGGCGATAACAAGAAGCATGCCACACTATTGGACATGTTCAAGACGCCGCGCATGCGCAAGAATACCCTCATTCTTTTCTTCAAGTCGTACGTTTTACTGAGTCCTGCACTATTTGGTGTACAAATATTTCAAGGCTATTTTATTTTCAGAATGGTGATTACATTGTGCTACGATGCCGTGTCTCGCAATGTTGAAGGAATGGGCATATCGCCATTCATAATGTTTTCGCTGAGCGCATTGGCCGTGCTGCCTTCGAGTATTTTGCTGGTCCTCCTGCAGGATCGCATTGGACGCAAGGGCATGGCATCGGGTTCCCTGTTGATTGGCGGTTTGTTCACATCGGCCGCTGGCATAGCCATTGCCTATCAGCAGCACAACCACAATGCCATTTTGTTGGCCTGCCTGACAATTGCGGCGCGTTTCGGCGTTGCCATTTCATACGAATCGGGCTCACAGTATGCCACAGAACTGATACCGACGTGTGTGCGCGGCCAGGGTGTGGCTGCTGTGCATGTGGCTGGATTTGCGGCCTCCTTCCTCGCACCCTATATTCTTTGGCTGGGCACGTTCTTTAAGGCAGCGCCCTCCATTATTCTGGGCGTGCTCTTCTTTTCTGGCTCCTTTGTGTGCCTCCTGCTGCCCGAGACGCTTAACCGGTGAGTGTGCGAAATGTGTTTCTATATATAAAATTAAACTTATATATAACAATTTTATGCCTTAACAGGACTTTGCCGACGACTATCGAGGAAGGTGAGGTGTTTGGCAAGGGCGACAGCATGTTCGACTTCCCATGCCTGCACCATCACAACGATGATGACTCGGACTCTGATCTAGAGAAGTACAAGCGCAAGCATTCACTAATCGATGCCAAGCAGCATGTGGAGTCCGGCCAATGCACCAAGCGCAAACAATCGTTGATCGATGCCGATCGCGAGGAGCAGGCCATGAAGGATGCCAAACAATGAGCCAAGTTGAAATGCTAATGACTAGTTCGTAGTGTAGTTAAACAATTTTTTTATAATATCCCAATCAACTAATCAGCCGAGGAACAACAAAAATAGTCCTAAGTAGCCAGCTCTTTGATCTAAAAATTCAAGCTTTTGCTTTATTTACTAATAACAAACATTTAATGGTTACTTGAAGAATATAAAATGAGTGCTCAGCATCTAGACATCTTCTTTGCAACTTTTTCTTTCTATGCGCACTCGTACACACTTACGCACATAAATATACATATATATATATATTTACATATGTATTAAAATCTAGGATTAAATATCTACATAAATAAACTTCAAAGTTTATATGTATTCATATATCTCTTTAATAACTAAATAAATCGATTTAGTAGATAGCCATCGAAAACATTTTCCAAAAACGTGTAAAATATCGAACGGAATCGGAATCGCATAGTTAACACTTAAGCGGCACAATTTCACTTAATTGAATAAATTGAAAACTAATATACATTTATAAATATGTAAAAAATAATTTATCATAAGTGTATAAGTATATAGCAGAGTTTATTTTGATTTGATGCATTGCAAATGCAAGTGCAAAACTGATAATAACTACAATTTTAGAAAAAAAATTAAAAATAAAATAAAACACTTGTATACAAAATTTGTATAAATCTTTGTGATATATTTGCTTTTATGAATATATTTTTAATCAATTTTTGTTTTACCGTTTTACACCTTCAAAAGAAACTAAAAATATTTCTATAATGCTGATAGTCGAGATTTCTACAGAAATTTGAAAAGTTTTTCTTTTTAAAATTAATCACATACGCCAACCGTTCTTGGCGCAATTAACATAATTCCCTCGACCTAACACTTTTGCTTCTGACTTTATGACAATCCATCAAAAGCACTTTCCGAGTATACGACTAGCGATATTATTTCACGGTCTTCATGCTCATTACTAGTTTTGAAGTTGTATTAGCTAGCTGTATTACTAGATCAATGGGTCATAAGATGGAACTTTCGATATCATACAAATTTTGGAAGGAGATTCCTAGTAATTTACTTTCCCAGTTTGAGAACTGTACCTCCAAAATATTCTGGCGGTCAGGAAGTTTATTTATCAATCCTTGAAGGACCTCAAATACAATCTATGTTAGATCATTGAGGGATGATTGATGACTGTACCTTTAAAATTTTGGGAGATATGTGGCTTTATCAATTTACTCTTTTCGATTATAACGGTCTCCTAGCCCATAGTGGTTACATCAAAATTTCAGCAGTTCTCAAGTCCCTAAGGTGTCGAAAAAATTGCACACACAAGTGTGGATAGACTAATAGATATCGTGACAGACATTTCACAAAAGCAATGTACTCTCCCTGCGAAAACTACTAAGTTGAGCGACCATTTAATTTCGAATTTAAATACATTTTCACATTAAGAGGTATTTTCTAAATATGTTTTCGGCACTCGCAATTAGCATTGGAATACACAATGCACATCACAATGCTTCTGGGTACAACAATACTTCCTCACAATTAGCAATGTCTATAGAATTTAGTTTAAGTGTACACCATGTTTTGGATATCATTAATGGTGTTTCTAAATTCCACAAAATACTATAGTATCAAATATCATCCACACAACATTTGTCGTTCATACGCCCGATCGAACGAAAGCAGCAAAGAAATATGGCCGGCGATCAGAAAAGCAAAAAAGCAGTTGCTTGTGTTCTGAAATGTGAAAGCAAATAAAATATAAAAGAAATTGCAGTCACTGCTAAGAGCCGCTTGGCAAATTGCCAAGTTGAAAGGTTTGGCTGTTATTAAGGGAGTTTAAGAATAAGTTTTGTTCGCAGCACCCAAACTTTTTGTTATATAGAATTGTTATTTTGAACTTGGCACCCATCGTGTAGTGTTTTTAATTCTGTTAACTCAGCATCCACAAGTATCATAACTGCTGTCGAAACCACTAACATCAATGCCCTTTAAGAAGAGTTTTTCTCTCTTCTGCCGGATGCTCGTTGTTTGACGTTTCTTATAAAAATGCTAAGCCGTGCTTCAAGTCTCTGCCAAAATTAATTTGAAAAACATTAAACCGTTATTGAAAGCAACTCTGTGTATATTTGCCGAACTTAAGACCACTAAAAATCGGATGTTGTTTTATTATTATTTAACTGTTTTTGTAATTTTATGTGACAGAAAACTGAGTATACTCCATATCAAACTCAATATGCCTACAACAATCCGTTTTTTTTTGGGTAATGTGGTTTTTCATTTAGGCAAATAGCTTATCAAACAGTATTTTTTAAATTCAAATATTCTCGCCCATGTTTCTTGCTCCAGCTTAATCAGATTCCTTTTAATTTTCACAATCAAATTATCCAATTCATCATTAATGGGAAGGACACACCAAAGTTCCTGCTCTGAACTGCCTGGAAGTTCAATGTTGTACGGCAAGTACATATGCCTTAAGGCCTCAACAAATTTCTTAAAGTCCTTAGTGAACTCGAGAATCTCCAGGACATCTTGCTGAGCCGAGGGCAGAGCACATGGAGCATTTTGCCAAAAAGCCGCCAAATGCAGAACGAATATAGGAGAATGCGTTTTGGTTAATAGCTTCTGCTAACTGATTAATTCTCAATCTTTGATTAATTAATTATTGAACATGGTATCTACTTGATTGTAGCTCGTGCTGCAACTTGTGATTCTCAACTGAATAACATTGCTGTTTACTTTTCGTTATATACCCTGCTGATCTATCGATTATCACTTAGTATCCATTGGATTTCCTGGCAGGTGAGGTAATCCTTACCGAGACTTTCATGCGTTGCTGTTGGGATATTTTTCAGTTTTTTTTCTTATTGGCTAAAAGCGAATTGAATATTGGCTGATTAACCTATAATTGTTATTTTCTTGGAAACCTATATTGTATATTTCGCTCACTGCTGCTGAATATTTACCTTCAACTTACAAGTTTTAATTTCAAATGAATTCGAGAGAAGTCTTCATAATGTACTATGTATAATTGTTGGAAATTCACACGAATTCGCTTAATTCGTTTAAAGGTTTGTTTGCAATGAACAATTTACATAAATAAACTAAAACTTCTATGTACTACGTAAGTTGTTTTTAGTAGTAATACCTACTAAGTAGATTGTAGGATAATTTTATCATAAAGTTTGTAGCGCGATATCGCCGACTTCATATAAATTCCTGATAATCAACTCAAGCTAAGTTGTCTGTTTATTTCTATGCAAATAAGTCTCTTTTTAAAAATAAACCAAACTTCTTCAGCATCAGAACATCGGAACCGTGTATAAATATCTTGAAACTTATTAAACAAAATCTAGATACACGTATTGAAGCGCCGTGGAGCCGTAAGCCTTTGTAGCTAGTACTTTAACTCTTAAGTATATTATTGCAGAATATATTGAAATTAATTTAAAATAATTTTATAGTCTAACATGCCTCAGAAATCCTTTCTAACTTGCTTAAATGAAGTCTCCGCGATTTTTAATCTCATTGGAGTTCATATTAATCACCTTGCTGCCCTGCGTAATTAATTTATGCAGTTCCAGCGAATTATGAGGAATTCCCTCAGCTGAAAACTTAATGCACTAGAAACAAGAACTTATACTAACCACTTTGAAATGTTCAGCTGCTAATATGCAACCAATTTCCGAGAGATACATTTTTTTTGGGATTCACAAAGTCTTTTTTAGTTCGTTGTATTTCATATTTGCGAAAGCTATGCAGATATAAAAAAAATAAAATAAAGCTAAGACACAATTTGTCGTATTTATCGGATTTTGTACACCCCATAACCACCTCACCCTTATTTCCAATTGATTTTGTGGCCATTGTTGTTATTTTTTTGCTAGAGGATAAAATAACAAAAAGCTCGTAGTCTCGAAATGAAATATTGCAGCTGTCGAAAATGGGGAAGTCGGGGTACGATTAAAGGAATATGATCATGCCTTAATGTAACAGAAAAAAAAAACAAGTGAGAGTACACGCAATACTCGAAATACTCTAATACCATAGGTATTACCACCTGATAACAGGTGCCACAGAACAGGGTGGGTGTAGCCAAGAAATACCGATCTTTAAATGAGGTTCCTCAAAGTTTGTATTTAAATTAGATCGGCTATTAATAGGCTTTTGTGCATTTTTGGGGGTGATAGGGGGCGTGACCAAAAGAATGTTGGAGAAGTTTCCAAGTAATCTACTTTTCAAGTTTGGTAACCTTGGCTCTAAATTTGCATAAGACATAAAGTTTTGAGAATTTTAGGGGCGGAAGTGGCCGTGGCCGAAATAAACATTAGTAATCTGCCTTCCAAGTTTGGTAGCTATATTTTTTAAATTGCAAGACATATAGGCTTTTGAGATTTTTAGGGGCGAGTATGGGCGTGGGTGAATATTTCTTTGGAGGACGTTCTTAGTAATCTACTTTCCATGTTCGGTAACTGTAGACAAATAGGGCGTGGTCCAAATTTTGTCTCTAGTATTCTAAAGGGTGTTACTAGCACCTTTCAAATTTGGTGACTCAGCTTGAAAATTGTGTGAGATATGTGTTTTTATCGACTAACCCCATCAGGAGTATCAGTTTTGTAGGCGATTTCCGATAATGGTATATCCATCCATATTTATGATCAGCTGTAAAGAGTTATTATAACTAGTCATTACTCATTCCTGTCAGCAGACGCAAGAATTTTTCATAGGCGCACTATCACAAGGCGTTGATTATGATCTGTTACCGAAGGTATAATAATTGTACTCTGATACTGACGGTATAATGCACATTGGTATTGTGCAATGTCTACCTTCTGTTTGTTCGCAATTTCTTTGAAATTTAGAACATGTTCCTCCGAAAAAGTGTTCAAAATTTGGGTGCTACGTCCACTGCGGGACTGGAAAATTGCTATAATCGCAAATAAAAACTGTTAAAGAAAGTTACTACATTTTGTTGGTTGGTCTATCTCACAATTTTAAAGCTATAGTCAACAAATGTAAAATGTATATTACTAGTATCAGCCTTAAAAAGCGGATAAAGTCTTCTCACTACAACAAATAAATAAATTTCTTATTGTTATATTAAAAGCAAATATTTATTTATTTACTTGAAGTTGTTGGTATACACTTTAAGGTTAAATGGTAGGAGGTATACAAAGGGGTTTTCTTAGTTCAGTTTAAGTACAGTAGGAATACTATAAGTGGAACACGTATTGTGTAATTTATCAGCTACATCTGTATTACTATGCATCCTTGGCATGAATAATACTTATCAGACCATTCTGTTACAGGAACTAACTTTACGTTAAGCTCATCTTCAGGTTATTTGTTATCTACATCAGATTCAGTTTAAGCCTAGTACTAAGCTTCTGACTTCTCTTCGGTGCACTGGGACGCGCTTTCGCGATGCTTTTTAAAGCAGGGAAAGTACAAGTAACCCTCGTTCATGGCGAATTTCTCACCATCGGCCAAGTTCTCCGGTAGTTTTCTAGATAAAAGCAAAATATTAACTGATTCGAGCTTTGCTTGAATATTGTGACTTACTTGTGCAGAGTTTCAGGAAGCGTCAGGCATAAGCCAGCACCAATGAACATCAAAATACTTATGAAAATTGATGGCAGTGGCTTGTAAAATTGGGCCAAGTAGATCACATAGAAAGCCATCGTACTGGAGGCCAAGCCAACGACATGTATATTGGACACTGCCCTCCCCCTGACACTGGTTGGGATTATCTCGGCAGCGTATTGGATTTCCGCATCATAGGAGACCGTGGCTCCGTAGCGACCCAAACCGATCATAACAGCCAGCAGAATGGCATTCTCTTTCGGATCCATAAAGGCAATAATGAAACCCGTTACTGTGGTTATAATTCCGCCCACCAGCAACGCGCCACAGGCCATTCCCTTCCGCCCGATAATGTTTTGGAGCAAGAGAATTGTGCAGCCTGCAGGCAAATAGTTGATCGATGTGTACGAGAATAGCTTGAATGGAGAGGAGCCCAGACCCTCCATATTGCGGTTGATCACATCGTAAGAAAGTGTAATGATGACCCTGCATAGAATAAATATTGTAAGACAATCTATCAACGATTAATTAGCAGTACTTACGATTTCAGCAGCAGGGTCAGCGTGAAACGACGCAGACGCGGTGTTCTAAACATTCCCATAAATGTATCCTCATGATTTGTTAGCTTCTGTTGCTCGTTCATCTTCTCGCGATAGTGCTTGACAAACTCATCGAACACAGAGTCCTCCACCTGTCTCCCGTTGAATCTGGCCACCCATTTGAGACTCTTCACTGCCTCATCGTATCTCTGTTTGGTGAGCAGCCACTGAGCACTCTCACAGAGTAGCAGCGGATAGCAGAGCACCCCAAGAGCTGGCAACGAAGCTATCCACAGATATTGACGCCAGTTGCCTATCCAGATGGCGACCCAGGGGGAGGTCATCAGTCCAAAGCAATAGAAGATGGCGAGAATAATGTTGAGGCCAAAGGTGCGACGTTTTGGACTCAGGTACTCGAACACTGATATGTCACATGGGATGAATGCAAAGTGAATATTGAAATATTGGTAACGATTAAAGATTTTAGGTCGTCGTATAAAGGCTTTCGCTTACTCACCCAGAATGTACACCAAATAGTACATGGTGTCGGTGGAGAGACCAGAGACAAAGCGCGAGAATGCAAACCATGGTAAGGTGTGCACAAAGGAAGTCATCATGTCACCGGTAGCACCAGCTAATGTTGTCATTATCAAGGTAGGTAGCCGGCCAATGCGGTCCGATAGATAGCCAAAGGTGATGGTACCCACCACGGAGCCCACAAAGAAGAAGGATTGGCCTACGGCCGGCTGATGGGATTTGTCGCAGACCCACTGGAGCTCAGTTGTGAGGCTCTGGTAGCCGCTTTCACGTTCGAAAATCCAATCCTGGCAGGTTTCGCCATTGGACACAATGCCCGTTCCATTGATGACGCCATCGAGCTGTGTGCAGGCGGGTTGACTTACATTTGAATAAATCGAGCGTATCGATTCCGCATTGAGTCCAAGAAGATCATCATGGGAGCACCTGTACCGACCAAGTTTCGAGTGTTTAATTAGTAAAAATGACATGCAGAAGCTTAAGTACTTCAAGTACTGACCAATGTTCCGGCGTAAACGTGATGAGTGTTTGCGAGAAATAATGCAACGAGCTGAGTATATTTGTATAGCCGTACAATATCAAGAGGACAAATTGGAAGCGGTTAAAGCTGCCGCACTTCTCGAGCACACGATCGAAATCCATATTCAATTCTGTCCCTAGCTGCTTGAGGTGAACTTTATTTACTTCATATACTATGTATTATATATGTATTCAAATCACGGGGCACTTTATACTGCAGGTATCGGGTTAAGAGCGAAGACTTCAAAGCTTCCCGTTAACAACATACTCGGCGCGAAGCAGGCTTCCAAGTGTTTTGGTTCAGTTGTTGAGTGCCGGCCTTATATAGTATAATTGCCGTAAAGCGTCTCCCCAGATTAAAGTGCGAAATTAGTGATAAAATTTAAGTTTGACTATCTCTGTGGGCCTCTAATACGTTGAGACTTTCGCAAATATTGTATTCGTAGCGCCAAAAAGTCAGTGACTGCCTGCTTTGAATTGCCTACTTTATGTGGCCAACAAACAATTAGCAATTCGTATGGTACTCATTTTTGTTGACACTACTCCTTGGATATTCTTTTATTTATATATACATACAAGAATTTGCTTTTATGGTAATCTGGTATCCGTAGTAATAAATTGCGCTTCTGCATAGCGATGCAATTGTTGCACAAACACTTGCAACAAACTTAAATAGTATTGTGCATTCGAAATTTCGAAAGGGCATTTTTCGAAAGGCGTATTTGACTCCGTTGCTCTTATCAGGCATTTAACTCGACCGATCAAGTGACGAACGTGTCTTTGTTGATGGTCTTAGAATTTTCGGCAGTCACAAGTGTGATTAGTCTAAGATTTATGCAAGAGTTAGTGGCGGCAATTGCTGTAAGTCACGCCTGTAGAGCAAACATTGTATATGCATTACCGCTGGACTTATCCGGTACCTGACACCTTTATAGTACGGCCTAGACTAATATTTATATATATTTATATATGTATGCGTTATACACGTGTATAGTATATATTACAATTGTATTGACATTGCGAAATTCAGTTAATATGCGCACATTCCAAGCATTTCCAAAGCAGTGTGGAACACATTCAAATCGACGTGATAATTATTGACCTTTCTGCATAGCTCCGGTAATGGAATTGGGTTAGTTGGGGGGTTTATTGGGTTGCTAACGGTAGTCTTAGCATTACTGACAATTTATGCATTTATTGCCATATTTAACTTTTATAACAGCATTAATGTTATAACATTCATATTAAGCAATGATATCACGCCGCTATGAGCTAAACTGATTATAGTGGGTGTGCCGTAGGCAATAAATGATAAATTCGGAAAGTAAATACTATAAATTAAAGAACTTTATTTTCAGAGATTTTCTTTTATATATGTTTTACAAGTTTTTTCTATGGACGCGACAGACACTACCGTCTCCTCGGTCGGTTTCCTCCTTTGGCCAAAGCAGGGGAAGTAATACCAGTTTTCGCCTTTACCAAAATTCTCGCCATCTGCCAGTGTTTGGGGCAGTTTCCTAAACGAATCAATAAATAAAACATTTGCAAGATTGTATGCCATTTTTACTTACTTTTTCACTGTTTCCGGTAGAGCCAGACACAAGCCGGCGCCAATGAACATCAGCAGACTAATGAAAATCGACGGCAGCGGCTTATAAAAGGTTCCCAGGAATATGATATATGAACTGAAGAAGCCAAATGCATAGCCCACTACATGTATATTAGACATGCCACGCCCTCGTACACTAGTGGGTATAATTTCGGCGGCATATTGAGCCTCCGCATCGTAGGCGACAACACCACCATATCTGCCCAGGCCCACCATTAAGGCCAAAAGAAGCGAGTGCTCCGACGGATCAAAACTGGCTACCAGAAAGCCAGTTAAGGCGGTAATCACTGCACCTACAAAGAGGGAGGCACAGGCCATGCCCTTGCGACCGATGAAGTTCTGGAATAGGATTATGGTCAGGCCGGCGGGTAGGTACGTAATGCTAGTGAATGAGAAGAGCTTGAAGGGTGAGGTGCCCAGGCCCTCCATATTGCGACTGAGTATGTCAAAGGCCACCGTGATGATCATACTGGTAGAGAAAAATCTTTATGAGTCTGTAATCTTAAACACTTGCACTCGTTTTCGACTTACGACTTGATGAACAGTATGATGGTAAATTTACGCAATCGTGGCGTCCTCAGCATGCCCATGAATGTATCAGATGTGGTTTTCTGCTGCTCGTTCATCTTCTTGCTATAATACGTAATGAAATCATCAAATACATTTTCCTCCACTTGGCGTCCATTGAATTTGGCAATACGACGCAGACACTGCGCAGCCCGCTCATATTGTCGCTTGGTCAGCAGCCACTCGGCGCTCTCGAAGAGCAGGCACGGATAGCAGAGTACGCCTAACGCCGGCAATGAGGCAGCCCACAAATAATTGCGCCAGCTGCCCACCCAAATGGCCAGCCACGGCGAGACCATCAGACCCACACAATAGAAAACGGCCAACACAATGTTAAGGCCCAGAGTGCGGCGTTTGGGACTGAGGTACTCAAATACTGGAAGAACAGCTCGAATATAATCGGAGCTTGCATTCAGACTCATTGTTCAGACTCACCCAATATGTACATGAGAATGTACTGAGTATCTGTCGATAGACCAGCTATGAAACGGCCAGCCGAGAAAAATGGCAGCGAGTGCACAAATGAGGTGATGAAATCGCCAAAAGCTCCCGTCAATGTGGTCAGCATGCAGGCCTTGAGTCGACCAATGCGATCCGCCAGATAGCCAAAGAATATGGTGCCCAGAACGGAGCCCACGAAGAAAAAGGATTGACCCACGGCCAATTTATAGGCATCATCGCAAACCCATTCAAGCTGTGCACAATATTCAGAGAAGCGAGTATAACTCTGTGAATTCCGTAAACTGCTGCCTACTTTTAGGGTTAACATACCTCAGTCGTAATGCTTTCATAGCCACTCTCGCGCTCAAATTGCCATGACTCGCATTTGAATTCCTCATTCATTAAGAGCACCGGATCCCACTGAATGTAGTTACAGCGACCAGAGGATGAGTTATTTTGATAAGCGTAAACATCATGCGGAACTGCAGGCATGCATCTATAAAATGGGAAAATTATTTACATTTATTGAAATAATTTAAATTGCATTAAACTGGATTTACGTATGCGGCGGCGTGAAGCTTATGATCGTCTGCGAAAAATAATGAAACGACGACAGTATATTCGTATAGCCATAGAGAGCCAGCAATACGAACTGGTAGCGCCCAAAGCTGCCACATTTCTCCAATACACTCTCGAAGTCCATTGTGTTGAGAATTCTCGTGTTCTTTGTGACTAGAATAGCGGTCCCAACGTCTGCATTGCTCGTTGGCCGCCGATCGTGTGCCAAGAAACGACTGCTGCAATATTCATATATGTGTATATACAGATATAAACCTATATATATCCATATACGTTATATGAATCGCATGCCATACGATCATCTATTGCCTGCAATATCTGGCAACGCCAAGCGTTTTCTATGCAAACAGCAAGTTGAAAAAATCTGTAATGGCTTAGTTTGTAGACGGTGAAGTTGTTTTGTTTTATTATTTAGTGGCTGTGTAATATGTATACGTATAGATAAGAGGTCGTCACATGCTATTAAGTGATTAGGTGATTAAGTTAAGATTAATTTAATACGCTATTTTCCCAAAGGCTTTAGAGGATATATTTATATCTTATGTATCAAAATATCATATTAAAACAGTCAAGCAAATACATTCTTTATTCATTCAATACTCGTTCTGTATCGAATAAACTACTCAAAAACTCTATTGAAAAACAAAGAAAAAAAAAAACATTAAATCGAAATTTAATGGTAATTTTAAAAATTGAGTTTATTTTGACATTAAATTTGTTTTTGTCATGTAAAATGCACAACAAGCAGCTAAACAAACCTTCATATTGATTATAAGTATTTGTGTACACTTCTATGCTTCTTTAAACCCATTGATATTGGAATCGTGAAATGTCTTAAGTCATTTTTATTTGGAGATAGAGTATGCTGATGCTAGCTCTTTTGTCAAATCTCTATTCATTGTTATCTTTTGAATCCAGTCATATGCCAAACATATGATAAACGTTATTATGAAAACGAATAAGAAATTAAAATCAAAATGCAAAGTAAATAACGATTTAAATGTGCATTTGCCTAGCCTTCTACAATATAAAGTGCCGCTGTTCTTAAGCTTTATTATCTGACGTTGAAATATTGCTAAAGCAAATAAGTGCGAATAGGGCAACGATCTGAGAACTTAGTATAACTTAAGATTTTGATGCAATTCTTTTAGTACAAAATACGTTTTTCTCTATTCGTCAACTTTCAAAGCTTTCTTCAAATAAAATACAAATACAATTATTTCCAACACCTTCTCAACGTCGTTTGTCTACTTAAACAAAGTAAGCTATTACATACTCAACGCGTACCCATTAAGTTAACAAATTCCTTGTGCTTTACTTTAGAAAGGTTTTTTCGATCATGTTCTTGGGAGATACATTATTTTTGACTATATATCTGATATGATGATATTTATGTCGATATGCTTACTACGCGAATGGAATTTAGCACCTTTTGCCAAGCATTGAGGGCTCTGATTATCGCTAAATATCCTTGTTGCAGATCCCTCGCTGAATTCCATTTCACGCATAACTTTGCGTATATGTGCAGCTTCCCTAGCTACCAGTGAGAGTACCACATACTCTGCCTCAGTGCTGCTTAATGCTTCGACGCTACGCTTTTTTTACTCCCATGTGAAAACAGCACCTGCTGCAATGAACGCCCAGCCACTGTAGAACTTCCAGTCCGTGCTGTCTCCAGCCCAATCTGTATCGACGTAACAGTGTATCACCTGACTGGTCTTCTGGTAGTGCAAACTCCACTCAGCAGTGCCTCTTAAGTATCTCGTTACTTAGTGCAATATATTAGGCAATGCAGTTATGTCTACATACCAATGATTGATAGTTAGCCTGGTTCGCTCGCTGACATCCGTCAATGTCGCATCTGACTTGAAATCCTTCCTCTATGGCATTAGATTTGCAGTTGTGCATACCAGACTCACGCAGAAGGTTCTCAATGTAGTACCTATGGGCGACAGTAAGGCTGCCCGTGTGCTGGACATAATAAGATCGTCGACATTTACGACTCTTACATTCAGTTTGCTGGCTTCACGATGCATATACAAACCAATCTTGATGACCACGGCGTTCAGTTTCTCATTTAACTCACGGCAACTCTGTTTAAGGCTGAATAGAGCCTTCTTGAGTTTTAGAACTCGTTCAGAGAAATCTTGGTTAGCAAATCACTCCGCATATAAACCATCTCGCAGATCACTTCTAAGATAAGCAGAATACACAATCTGATGCATATACGAACCATTTTCTATCGCTAGAGCAATCACTAAGCTGACTGTCGAAAATCTGGCCACAGGGCAGAAATTCTCATTGTTATTTACGCCATATTATTGGGTACATCCAATTGCCTTCTCTCCCTTTAGTAGATCAACAACTTCCAAGGCTTGTTGGCTTATAGACTATCTATCTCCTTCTACATCGACGCCCTCCTTTCACTGATCGGAAATCAACGGTGCAATGACGCTAGCAGGTGCAACTACTTTGTCATAAAATTCAAAATATCATACTGTTTTCGTTGGCGTCCTGGCTGCTCGGTGCGCACTTTCTTTGGCCGCCCAGGACTAATTTTGCCCGGTGCTTCGCATGACTCTATTTTCTCATTATCACCAATGTCTCCATCTGTAGATATATTTGGCACCTTGTTATCTCGTTCGGAATTCACGCGATCCTCAGTTTGATGGCCATTATGAAGACATACAGGCTCATTGTCGACTTTCTTCCTGACCAACGATAATGGGTCCCTTACGCTGTCATCCGTCGTTTCACCTTCAAAAAATATCACATCACTTGTTTCGATTACTTTTCATGAAACAGGTTTATTCGTGTCAGTTCGCGCGCTCCGCTACACTATTTTGTTGGGGTTTATACGACACAATACGCTGTCTCTTGATGCCGTTGCTCACTAAATATTTTTCGAAATCGCCGCTCAAAAATTCAGGACTGTTGTCGCTGAGACATTTTAGCTTGCGTCCAGTATGTTTTCTGCAGACACCTTGTATACTTTGAACTTTTCAAAGATTTCATCGCGAGTTTTCATAAAACACGCATATACAAATCCTGATCTGTAGTCAGTAAATGCGCCAAAGTACCGCGCACCACCTACACAATATTTTCTCAAATGTCTGTGTGTATGAAATCTAGTGTGCCTTTGGCGCACACCTGTTTTACACTTAGTTTGCACTTCGCGCATGTTTCACATGCATGTTCTTTTAAGTCCGAGCACTGCGCTACCTGCAAACCGTGCACTAAATTTCTTTTAATCATTTTATTAAGGCTGATAAAATTTAAATGGCCAAGCCGCTTGTGCCACTTCAGTGTGTCTGTTAAATTATCTTGAACGCTGAAACACTGTTGCTCATCTGTGTTGAACAAATATAAGTCTTCCGCGCATGTGCGATTTTCCATGCGCTCACTCTTTTGCCCATATTTAATATTGAATCCCTTTTGAGTACTTTCGAGCCTGACACAAAGTTACATTCAAGGTCTTTTACATATAATCACGAAGCAGGCAATACAATAGAGGCGGCAAATTGACAAAAAAGTGCATCAGGTTTTTTCTGAGTCTCTGGGCGAAAGTTGTCGTTATTTCACTTAACTTCTCTGCGAGAACATGGCGGGTAAATGAAAAACCCAGCCTTTTATGAGCATGTGTGCATGCGTGCGAACAGGACCCCACCTTTTCTAGTAGGCCCTAAAGGGTTATGAATGTGTGCGAAAAAGCAGCTATATTGTATTGTCTGCTTAGTGATATAATGGATCGGTCAAATCAATGGTGTTATTTTTCCACTTTATTCACGCTTTTCCACGCCCATATGCCTGCATATAACTATTTACATCTCAAATAATTTTATCTTTGTGCTCTCTCAATTCTTTAAAGCACGATCTGTCGTTACACAAATTCGCTGTGGCACCACTGCTAAGACACCACGTTCTTTGCGAAACCAACACCACTTGGGTTACTCGCCTTGCACTTTTTCAGTGCCGCCGACGATTACATGTCTAGCAGGCGGCCTGTGTTGCCTATCTCTGCTGCGCATTTTTACGATGCACTTTACAGTTACTTTTGACTTCATTTCTGTTTGCTGGATTGTCTATACGCGTCGAGAACATTTTTGTCTCTCCGCTTGACGCTGTCTGCCCGTCTATCCGATCTACGACGTTGACTCCCATCGAGTAATTTCATTTTTATCACACTTAGCGACGACAACGTGTCACGAGTTTCCATGGCGATCGCGAAATTGTTGTATCCGTCCGACAAACTCGGCAACAACAATATAGACAAACACTCTTCGATTATTGTAAAGCCGATCTCGCTTAGTCTTCCCACTGAGTCTGCAAACTTATGCATGTGCTTTGCCTTTAACAAAGTTTCCCGACGCAATGAATTTCTTTCAGGATGTTCCAGGCACTTGGCGATGTTTGGCAATTCTTCACGTGATTTATTCGGGATGCCTTTATGCAAAGCATTATGCTTGCCATAGTCTTTTCGACTCTTTTATCAAATATTGCCCTTTGCTCAGCACATACATGTATACTGTTATAGCTCTGAATAAACGAGGACGCTTTTCATTTGAACGTCCCAGACACTATAATTTTGGTCATCCAACTTGTCGATCAAACTCATAGAGGTATTCATTTTCATTAATCACACTTGTCCAAGAAAGTCCAGAATGATCTGATTCTCCTTCTACAAGTAATCCTCAGAATAATTCACTGCATTTTCTACGAACTACACGAACACGTTCTGGGCATATAACCTAGTATAACTTGGGGCTTACATTTAATCAGAGCTTTGTGTTTAATACAGAAGCAGCATATTAAGACTACAAAACGGGAATGCAAGACAAGCTGCGGTGTACATAGGCAAATACAAATATTTCCAATAAACTCCAATTGTTTAGGTAATAAAAATAACACTTTGAGATCTCAGAAGCAGGCTTTTAAATGTATTTAATTGTTTTAATTTTTAAGCTGACGCTCTGCATGGCATAAATGCAATTATCGTAAACTTTGTTAATAACACACACCATCAAATTGTACAACATTGCAATCGCTCTTTAGGTTAAGCTCGTGCTATAAAAAGCTCCTGTTAATCACCGGACAGCTGCAGGCAAAGCAGTCTTATCACTTTCGTTCTTTGACAGCAATGAAATGTTTTTGTTATTGAAGGGCTAAGCCGGTGCTTGAAGCTTCCAGTTCATATTATGCTATAAACATTATAACGTTGTTGAAATCAACTATGATTTAGATTTATTTGCAAGTGGAACAAATCGCTGGTAGCGCAACAATTAACAATAACTAGATTAGCAATTTCAACAAACCAAAACTACAACATCTTAAATCATTTTTTATTGCTCTTAAAGACAATTGTTGTTATTTGCATGCAAAGTTTAATATGTACACTATATTTTGGACGCTGGAATATTTTTATTGGCTTAGCAACAGTGTATAATTGACTTAACTAACTTTAAGTGAGAGCTTAAAAGTATTACAATAACTAAATACTAAAATAGTTTATAATGTCCTGATTTAAAAATAAATGGAGGAATTATTCGAATTGGAAAGGGACTGGCCATTTCCCGGGGCGAGGCGTGCCGTCGATCTCGTGCGCTTCTCCATGAAGCTAAATATGTACCAGTTATCGTTCTTGCCAAAGTTCTCGCCATCCTCTAGTGAAGCGGGTAGCGTGCGATTTAGGGTCTCCGGCAGCAGCAGACACAGGCAGGCGCCCAGCAAGGACAGCACGCCCAGAATGATTTCCGGTAGCGGCGAGAAAATGGTTCGCGTAAACAGGATGTAGGCGCTGAAGAATGTGAATGCATAGCCCATCACATGTACAGCAGCCACGCCTTGACCCCTCACACAGGTGGGAATCAGCTCTGTTGCATATTGGGCTCCCGAGTTGTAGGCAACTGTGACACCAAAACGACCGATCACTGAAAGTGTCACTAGTAATGTTGTAGCTGCGCAAAATGTACATGTTCAGTTAGATGCACTTCAATTGTAGGTACATAATGTATATACATATGTGGATGAAAACGTAAAACGATTTAATGAAGAAGACTGCTTCCTAAAAGTAAAGTACTGTTCAATATGAAAACAAATTTTATTTGAAAAATTATTCTTGGGTCCCTTAAACTAAGTTATCGCAAAGCTCATATCTAGGGATTATCTAAAAGCTTCATAAAGCTCAACTTAACTCAATGGATATCCTACATAAGCATTGCAATATCAAGTTGTTTATATGTATTTAATACGTGGATAAAAAAAAAAAAACATCCGGCCATATAAAGTAAACAAATTCTTTTCCATGAGAGCATCGGTGCCGAAGTTTAGACATCTATAATTGTTGTGTACAGCCTTGCATATTCTATTAAAATTAAGTATATTTTATATATATTTCCTTTTTTCATAGTATCTGCCTTTCATAGTATAAGCGCGTAAGTTTTAGGAGGAACACTCCGACTCCGACTCAAACTCATTAATTTATGAATTTTAATTTTACAAGTCCGCATAACTTTATATGTGTGTTTATATTGGTCAATTACGTAGATCCATCAAATTTAAAGTTTCATTTTCAATATGTATTTGATAATAAGAAGTCATAAAACTATGTATTTCCTAAAGAATACAATATGTTCTTATAAATCACCAGTGAGGGCACTCTCCTATAGAAAACTGTATTAAAATCTATTCATCTCCAATTATGAACTAAAATTTGTTAAAGCTATAAAATATATAATTCTTGCTGTTCGCAAGATAATTGTCCTAAGTAAATGATGAATGATTTAGCTATGACTTACTTCGATCAGTGGCAGCAGTAGCGGCATAAAGAACACCGCCCGTCACAGAAATGAAAATGCCACTGAGGAGCAGCGACATGGAAGCCATTGCCTTTCGTCCGATGCGATCTTGGAGAGCAATGAGTAGCAGGCAGGCGGGAAAAATTGTGGTTGCGCTCAACGAGAACATAATGAATGGCGAAATGCCAAGGCCTTGCACATTTCGCGAGACGGCATCATAGCAGAGGGTAATGACCATGCTGTGTGGGTGAGCGGCGAACAGATAAATAAAGATTATCGTGAATTAGTCAACCAACTGAGACTGTGATTGCTACTCACGATTTGAAGAACAAAATGAGAGTGTTGCGGCGTAGACGCGGTGTTTTGAAGAGGTCCAGCATGTTTGGCGTTGTCTTCGGGGTCAGCTGACGTCGTTTGCACTGTTCCACGAATTGCACATAGACGCTCTCATCAATTTGGCGCCCATTGATTTTGGCCATTCGCCGCAAGCAGTCAACAGCTCTGTCATATTTCTGCTTGGAGATCAGCCACTGCACACTCTCCGGCACAATGAAGTAGAACAACGGCACCAATGCGAATGGCAGCGATGTGACTAGTAGAAAGCCTCGCCAGCTACCCACAAGCACTGCTATCCAAGGCACAACCATCGAGCCCAAGCAGTAAAAGATGCCGATGCAGATGCTCAGGCCAAGAGTTCGCAGCGAGGGTCGCATGTATTCCATAACTGCGAAAAATAAATAATTCAAATTAATAATTAATAAGTGAATTAATACACTGCTCACCCAATATGTACATCATTAAGAAGTTGCTGTCCGTGGCAAAGCCGGAGATGAAGCGAAATAAACAAAAAAGTGTCAGATTCGTGCCAAATATTGTCAAAATGTTGCCGAGCATCGCAATGAGGTTGGCAAAAATGAGGATGGGCAGCCGACCCACTATGTCCGCTAGATAGCCCAATACCAGAGTGCCCACCACGGAGCCCACAAAGAACATGGACTGGCCGAGTGTGAGTTTCCACGCCTCATCGCATATCCAGTTCATTTCGCTGGTGAAGCTATGGTAGCCCATGTAGAGCTTATAGTTGTAGCTATTGCAAGTCTGTGAATCGGTTTCATTGCTGCCCAGTGGCAAGCAGCTGGATGTGTCTGGAATGCCGGATTCAGGGTCCCAGTTATCGGCGCACCTGGGCATATGAATGATAATTATTTATTAGGTATGTGCATTGATATAGTGATACATACCAATACCTTGGCACGAAACTAATAATCGTTTGGGAATAGTAATGCATAGATGCGAGCACATTTATCAAACTGAATAGTAGCATCATGAGAAACTGCAGCCGACTGAAGTCGCCGCATTTCTCCAACACTTTATCCACTTCCAGCATTATACCTGCTTGCTCCCTCACAAACTGCATTCACATATACAGCGGATACTTTCTATTACTCCCTTGGATTATGTTCAGTTCTCTCTGATAAGCTTCAGATTTGCCAAATCTTGCTCCTAGTTAGCAGCAGCGTTGCACTTGCAGCACTTGCATCGCAACTCACTTCATTAAATCAGATTTTTTTTCGCGTAGCGCTGAATTCACTTAATTATCCAAGCCAATTAGCGCTTTTTATTTCCGGCACGACTCAGCTTCATGAAAAACACTTATATAATTAATGTTTGACATTTTTTTCTAAGTTGTGTGTATACTTGATGTAATATTTTGCAAGGATAGAATCTATATATATCCACTTTGTTCAATTACTTGTTATTATCATCATAATTTATTAATTTTCTTAAGTTCTTGCCGGAATTAATATTGATATTATTAAAATGTATAACAAGTGAGAACGTTGCAGTCGGGCGTAACCGACTGCGTAATACTCTGATACCAATAAGTTATACCATCTGATAACAGGTGCTACAGAACAGGGCGGGTGTAGTCAAAAAATACCGATCTTTGAAGGCGGTTCCTAGTTATCATCCTCCAACTTTGCCTTTAAAATTTCGGTAGGTATGAGCATTTATGAATTTTAGGAGCGGGAGTGGGTGTAGCCCAAAATCTTAGTTACGGATTTTTAAGGTTCTTACTATCAACATACTTAAAATTTTTGTGACTAGCGTTCAAATTGTGAGAGATATATGGTTTTATCGACTTATACTAACAAGTTTATCAGCTTGGGCATGTGGAGTAAGCGTTGCCATCCAATTTTATCGATCTCTTAGGCGAGTTACCAATAACGTTCATTCAAAATGTAGTGATTCTATCTTAAAAATTGTGGAAGATATGCGACTTTTAGATATCTAGGGCGGATTTTTCTGGGGATGGAGGGAGTGGGCTTTGTTTGAGAATGTATATGCCGATCTTTGAAGAAAGTTACCAGTAAGTTACTTTAAAAGATTGGTGAGTCTCACTTTAAAATTGTTGGAGATATGCGGATTTATCGATTTACACTTTTCGATTATGGGCGCAGGTGTCACACAAATTGTATATCAGTTCTTAAGGCCGACAACCCGTAATATACTTACCATATTTGACTCTAACTCTCTAACTCAAAAACTGCGAGAGATATAGCTATTTATAATATTAAGGGCTGGGGCTTGGGTGGCGGAGGTGGGCGTGGCATATGCCGATATTTGCAGGACATTGCCAGCAACCTACAAACCAAATTTGGTAAGTGCAGCCTTAAAATTGTTGGATATATGTGGCTTTGTCGATTTGCGATGATAGTTTTTTTTTTTTTATCCTCTTAGTGGCCGTAATACGCCAGTATAGTATCTCTTGCAAGTTTCTAGTGTTTATCTGTAAGGATGTCGAAAAAAGTTGCGTTGATACAGACAGAAAATCGGACGGACAGCAGGACAGACAATGCACAAATCCAATATACTATTATATCTTTGGTGTCAGAGTACTATAAATGGAATGAAAATTCTTTAGTTTGAATAAATACCTTACAATTTTTAATTAAATTTTGACTCTATCTGCGTATAGTAAATAAAAAAAATATATTTAATAGTCTCTGAGATCGACAAGCTTTTTAATTATCGCGACCATATATTTAATTTCAGTTACATACGCAAATTTCTGGTTCTTATTTTTTATGAGTTAGGTATAAAAATAAGCTTAAATCCGATTTTATAACCCAATAACTTGTTGGGGTTACATATGATCAGCTAATTGAGTATCGGCTTAAATAGAAAATGAAATTATTTTTAATTACAACCAATACCGTACAAAGAAGCCGTAAAGGATAACCAAAAATTCTGGATATATGGGCAACTTGTGGTGGAGTCATATTCATATTCATATTTGATGAAAATATTATAAAGATCACTGTGATTATTCACATATACCAACATATTTCTGATGAAAAACTAGTTACATAACACTACATTTTATGAAAGTATATATATGTATTTACCACAAATCGACATAAATATTCAATTTATGAAGTAAATAATGCCGAAAGTACAAATTTTTGTGTGCTGGTTTGCATTTATGATAAATTCTTATTATTTCACAATTTTTATTTATTTCCTCATTCACAGTCCTGAGCAACAAGTTTCACTGAATTGACTTCCAATATGAAATGCTTTCTTTGGCTGATTGTATTGATTGACTCAGACGCCCGCACAAAAGATTACGATAGGGAACAGCTTTTTGCAAATGACCATAAAACAGCTGAAGCCCGAGTGTTTTGAACAAGCGCTTGGAACAGCCACCGACAGATGCGATTGTGATGATTTTATATTTCGACTAGAGCAGAACACTTATAATGCGAACCGCAGCACACCGAAGTCAAGTTGGAAATGTCGCCAGCTCGCTCATTGTTATTGTCAGCCGAAAACAAATGCAACCGTATGCATACGTACGAGTATGTATGTCTACATGCACATAGGCGTTGTGTTTCTGGAAGACAAATATAGATTTTGAGCGATGCGATTGCCGTGCTTAAAGCGATTTTGCATGCAATGCGATTCGCTTACAGTTATTACAATATAATTTTTTTTTTTGGCCTGCGTGACGTAGCTTTGAGTTTTGAGCCTGCGTGTGCCGTTGGGCGTCTAGTTGTGAATTTAGTGACAAAACTGTCGTGCGCCCATTTCTGGAATCGCAATTTGTTTTTGTTTTCTTTTTTTTTCATAACGAACTCTATCTTTATCTCGTAGAATAATCCAAATGTTGATGTTCTGCGGTTGATTGCACGTGCACTGATAATGTTGAAAAAAACTTTAGTTAATTTTTTTTACGAATAATTATTTGAAGTTCTCTAAAACTTATGTGACATTTTTTTAATTGAATAATTATTTTCTTGCTTTATGTACTTTTTTGCGTGTACTTTTAATTTTTTCGCCTAATTTTTGCTTAAAAGCAATAAATTCAAAATTGATTAGCAAAAACAAGTAGGAACGCTGTAGTTAAGTGAGCTCGACTACGATATACCCAGAACACAGCTGTTAAATATATTCTAAAAATGTATTATAATAAAATAAGCCCGAACTGAAATCACAGACATGCGACAAGCGCATATATGTATATATATATATATATTGATTATGATTGCGTGTATTATCTTGTTGCCGTCGCGTCGATTATCTTGTCGTCTCTTTCTCACACATGCAGTTGATAAAAATTATGAAAATGCACATTATATATAAATTAGAAGAATATTCCTTTGAGATTGTGAAATGTATTGCTATCGGAAAACGATATGTATCGATATTTGCTAATCGAAGACAGTTATCGATATAATGAAGTTTCTAGCTGTTATAGTCTCTGAGATCCGCGTATTCTTACAGACGGACGGACATGGCTTTATCAACTCGACTGTTGATCCTGAACACGGAGTCGGACATGCTTCCTTCTGCACAAAGCCGTTATATCCGTTTTACCCATTTTCAATGGGTTCAGAGTATACAAAATAAACAAAAGCTAATGATTACAACACATGTGGTAGTAAAAAGTTAAACACACAGTAGTAATCACAATTTTATCACAATTTACCGTTATTCAAACTTATGGAAAAATATATACTTTATGAGGTCGAAAACGTTTTATTTAATGTGGTACATTCTCCTCGATAAAATCATAATCGCCTTTTGCGAGGGTATACAAAATTACAGGGAACTCTAAAGTAATTTTGTAAAAAAAGACTTGATAGTGCCAAGGATGATTGCATACTATTTTGGTGAGGTGTTATATTTTATAATTATAATTTTAGCATTATAGCATTAAATTTAAAATTATACACAGCCTCGTGCCGATTCAATTGCAATTTGAACAAATATCGTATTTACCTACTTACCTTGATCGTACATATTTTGCAATCATGTCAATAACTTATTTGATATTAAGCCTCTTCTATTTAAATTTGTACTGGACTAAAGTATATACCTATGTGTACATTTTTTGTAAGTGGACTAAAGTATACACCTATGTGTACATTTTTTTGTAAGTGTGTATTGTGTCACAACGCATTTTTTATGGCATTGAACCATATTATGTGCGTATCTTAAAATCTTGTTATATATTGCAATACAATCGAAAAAATAAATAATAACTATCAACTAATTAAATTAATTGATTATTAACAAATTATTTTGAATAAACTAAATTGAATTTTTTGAATGCTTCGGTATTTCGTAGTGTGCTACGTGGCATGTTCTAGTCCAGCATTCTCAGTCATACTTAGTTGCTTTGCTTTGTTTTGTTTGTTTCGCTGTGAGCTATCATCTAGCTTAAACGTACAAACGTAAACAAATGACTTGCAAAAATGCAGCCGCTCAATTCATAAATATAATATTTTTGTCATTAAAAATAATATGCCTATTTAATAAGATTCCATCAATAATATATATAATGACTGAACGACTGGAACTACAAAGCTATATTTTGTACTGAAAGTCCCTTTTCATACTCTGATACGAAGAGTATCATAGTATATTGGTTTTGTATAATGTCCATCATACTGTCTGTCTGTATGAATGCAACTTTTTTCGACATACTTAGAGTCAAAGTTTTGAAACTTGCAAGATATACTGGTCTGTGCCCGCGCCAAACAAAGTGTCAAAATTGGGGTGCTCCGTCTACTAGGGAGCTATGAAATCGATAAAATCGATAATCGCAAATCGATAAAGCTAAAGTGTAATAATAATAAGGCACAAGTACTACAGAAAGGTGTAAATTTAGAACACGTCGACGTTGTTAAAGCATCGAACACAGCCTGTTGCCGAACTGCACCGACATGATTTTTGAAACATCCTAAATTATCTTAAAGCTATTTACAGTTATTCTTATTCGACTAAGGACATAGGTAGCTACGTATTAACTGCTGCAAATGCGTCTACACTAATTATCGTATCAGTTCAGAGAACTCTTATCGCGGAAGGTTTTATTATGGTAACGATGGGAGTCGCGCACGTGTCTGTTCACGTCTTTACCTATTGTCTAGACAAGAGCCCTCCTTTGCTATCTTACCGTTGTAGGATTGAACAATGGGCATATATCATATTGTAGGCTAAGAGATCGATAAAAAATTAGATGGCCACACCCACTCCGCCGCCACAAACCGCTGCATCTGTTAGTGTACATCGATAAGACCATATATCTCACTCAATTTGAAAGGTAGAGTCTCTAATTTTGAGTGGCACCCTTAAAAAATTCGGAAATAACATTTGGACCACGCCCATTCCCGCCCCCAGAAACGATTAAAGCCAACTAAATCATGCCAAGTCTTTCCCTGAAGAGCGCTTGTAAATAATGTGTGTTGCTATGTGGATATAAAAGCGATAACCTTATGCGGGTGGTACTTGGTTAGTACCATAGTTAAAGCTTCAATTAAAGATTCTATATTATATATTTAAAGATAATTTATTCTTTTCACATTGTTGTTCGATTTGCTGGTTTTACGAAAATACGCAATTTTATCATAATCAGAGCACCACAAATAAATAAGCAATTAGAATATGCTTAAAAAATATAATATATATATTTATATAAATAATGAACAGAATAATACAACACAGTAACGAAATACATATATCAAGATCTTGAAACAGTCTGAATTCAAAATAGTCTAGGACGCAGATCGCCGAAGATTACGAACCCATGCACAAACTCTCCAAGCTTTAAGACAGAGTGACTAACTCTCATAGAAACTGCAAGACAGACCGGCGGTTGGACAAACGAATTTGATTATCTCATCGTGGGAAGTGATGCTGAGCAAAATGATATAGAGCAGACTTTTTAAACTTTGATACCTTCGCTATATTCAGGATATTGGTTTTGTGCAATGTCCGTCATGCTGTATATCTGTCTGTCCGGCTGTATGAACGCCGTCTGCTCGATGAGATAGAGAGATCAAACTTGGAACACATACTGATGTTGCCGTCAGACAAAGTGTAAAATTTGGAGTGCTACGTCACCAGACGATATTTGAAAATCGATAAAGCCAGATATCTCCCTTGGCTGGTATGTTGTTGGCGATGTCCTTCAAAGATCGGCATATGCCACGCCCACCTCCATAGCCCCTACGCCCCTCGACTATAAAAATTTTAAATGGCTATATCATCCACAGTTTTTGAGTTGGAGCCGTCAAATTGGGAATGTATTTTACTGGTAGCTGCCTTTAAGAACCGATAGCCTATTTTTATGGCCACGACCACACCTACGCCCATAATCGTCAATGCCGATATTTTGGAGAATGTAAATCGATAAGCCCGCTTATCTCCCACAATTTTAAAGATAAAGTAACCGAACTTGGAAGGTAACTTGCTGGTAACCTTCTCCAAGGATCGGCATATACATTTTCAGACCACGCCCACACCCGCCGCCCCCAGGAGCTTCAGCCCTAGAAATTTGTAAGCTAGAGTCGCCAAATCTTAAAAGTATGTTACTGGTAACTCTCCTAAGAGATCGATAAAAAATTGGTTGGCCACGCTCACTTCGCCTTCCTAAACCGATGCATCTGTTAGTGTAAATCGATAAGACCATATATCTCACACAATTTGAAAGCTCGAGTCACATAATCTGAAAGGTATATTGCTAATAACACCCTTCAAAAATCCGAAAAATAATTTTGGACCACGCCCACCCCCGCCCCCAAAAACTATGAAAGCCCATATCTTCTGCAATTTAAGAGATACAGTTACCAAACTTGGAAGGTAGATTACTAAGATCGTACTTCACATTTTTTTGGACACGCCCACTCCCGCCTCCAAAATTCCCAGAAGCCTATATCTCCCGCAATTTAATAACTACAATTATCAAACTTGGAAGGAAGATTACTAGGAACCTTCTCTAATATTTTTTTCGGCCACGCCCACTCCCGCCCCCAAAATTCCCAAACTCACATCTCATAATTTATGAGCTTTGGTTACCAAACTTCTAAGGAACAGTACTAGCTTATATCTACCGCAATTTGAAAGGTAAACTTGGACAGTACTTCTTGGCTACACCCACCCTTTTCTTTATTACTTTTTACTTGCTGGGCTAAGTTATGATATCACAGTATTTCGCAACGTTCTTTCTTGTTAGTGTATGAGAAGGGTATAAAGAGCTGCCTTCAATCACGTGCACTTACTAGTTAAGCACAGGTATTTCGTAATTTGTCGCTACTGTGGAATTTGAGAGAAAGAATAATCACTTTTTCAAACGAACTAATCTAATAAAATATGCCTCAAAAATGTATTCATAGTACTTGAATATGCGAAATGCATATGCAAATGTTCAAATGCTCTGGAATATCTTCGAGGAATATCTTAAGTAAATGTATGCTAAATATTTTGTTAATTATCAATTGGTTAGGCAGGTAAGCAATTTTCTAATGCATTCGTAATAAGCACGAGCTGCCTTTCACTAGGTACAAACTTATGCAAAAATGTTCATATGATTGTCGTGAGCCGGAGGTTTTTTACACTCTGAACCCATTGAAAATGGGTCAAAAGCGAATAAGTTGTTAAGAATGAAACCTGTCCGACCCCTTTACAGTATATATATTGATGATCAGGGTCAACAGCCGAGTCGATTTGGCCATGACTATCCTCTGTCCTTCTCTGTTAACCTCCTTCTACCTACCGCGACTGTAGAAGTTAGAAATGTCCAATTTATTATATTGGTTTTGTGCAAAATCCGTCTTTATGAATGCAATGTGCATATCGATAAAGCCACATATCTCCCACAACTTTAAGACTACAGTCACCAAATTTGGTTGGTAGGTTGTTAGCGATGTCATCCAAAAATGAGCATATGCAACGCCCACCTCCGCTGCCCTCAAGTCCCTCGCCCCTAACATTGGGAAGTGTCAATATCTTCCGGGATTTTTGAGTAAGAGCCGTTAAATTTGGAATGTATATTACTACCAACTGCCTTTAAGAGCCAATGGCCAGGCCCAAACTTGTGTCCACTATCACCAAAGCAGATATTTCGGAAAGTGTAAGTCGATAAGTCCGCATATTTCCCGCAATTTTAAGAATAGAGGCACCAAACTTGGAAGGTAACTTGCTGGCAACCTTCTTCAAAGATCGGCATATATGTTCCATAATTTGTAAGCTAGAGTCAACAAATTTTGCTGGTAGCTTCCCGAAGAGGTCGATAAAAAATTGGATGGTCTACTTGTGTAAATAGGTATGAAAATTTGAATACAATTTGAAAGCTAGTGTAACCAGTCCTGCTCCTGGTTACGCCCGACCGCAACGTTCTCATTGGTTTTTATTTAATTTTGTAGATAACAAATTATCAATATCAATATTAGATTCAATTTTAATAATATAGTTTCCTAAATGGTCTGTTTATTTCTTAACATAATATTGATAGTCTCTACAAATTTCTTCGAGATCGGCTAAGAAATTTGCAACAACACAATAAATTTGTGGACTCATATGAAAACAAAAGTTTCAGTATTTTTTAGCGCTTTGCTTTGATATGTGAAGATTTTGGTTCAGGATATCTGCTAGTCGAGCTGTTTCGACTAGCACTTAAAGGATTTTATTTTAAATATTCGAATAATTTTTTTCAACTCACGAATTATTGTTTCCATATAATCATGTTCTATTCCGTTTGTATATCTTAAATGTTTAACGTTAAGACTTCAATCTAATTTGATAAAAAAAATTATATATATTTCTTATATATTAGTTTGTGGTAATGTATGATCAAAGTATTATGTGCAATTGTATACAACTTTGCTTAGCATGTTGTCGATTGAATGGGAAGCAAAGCTTATTTGCAACAATTTTCGACCTAAGACAGAATATCCCAAATGTTAAGTTTATTTTAGAATCTTTTTTTTTTCAAATCAAACTCTTAGCAGTTCAAACATTTCGCAAAAAAAATGTTAATGTTAATGTGAAACACCACCTTTTAATAAAATACCATTTTTATACATCTGTTTTTTGATGAACCCAGGGCAATTGATTTTTTTTAAATATTTTGTTTTATGTACATACTTCAATAACGGAGCCAGAAAAAAACAATATTTCAATTATAAAAAGCAATCAATAAATAATCAAATGTGTAATTTAACGTGTTTTCAACATTTCTTTTTAACTTCGAAATCGAATTATTAAAAATGCCGGCAATGGTTTGGCCCTACGCTGATTCCCAGCTAGACTCTTTTATTTATATTTATATATAGATTGGAGATAAATGAAAAACTAAAGCGCTGTAACGCTCAGCAGAAAATATTTATTTAGTTAAGGTAAAGTGAATATTTAAAGACTGTGCTCACAGAAAATGATCCGAACTCACTTGTACTGGTGGTCGTTTTATTTCAATGTAATCACACTTTATATAAGTAAATGTATAAATATTATTAGCTATTCTGACTTAGCCGTTTAATTTTACCCTTATTTGTAATATACTTTTTATTATTTAAGAAGTGCTCAATCGATTTTTGCCTTCCTTGATCCTTTGTCAATTTCAAGTACTTACGCGAATGGTCGCCAGAAAATACATACATAGTATGTACACTGCACAATGGAAATTACAATTTTAAATTTGTATTTACGTTTTTAAACTGAATTCTGCGAAAGTTGTCGACGTTTTGTGCACCATGGAAAAGAAAAAGTATGCGTCTTCATAGCAAAACTTTCCGCTTCGGCAAGGTTTTCTGGCAACTTTCTAAAATTAGACAAGTATACAAATGAGGTTTCCGCAAAATGTACTAATCAAAATAACAACATACTTGTTCAGTGTTTCCGGTAGCATCAGACATAAGCTAGCGCCGAGGAACATCAGACTGCTAATGAAAATTGATGGCAATGGTTTATAAAACTTGGCCAAGTAGATCACATAAAACACTAGAAAATTCGAGGCCAGGCCCACAACATGTATATTGGAGAGAGCTCGCCCCCTCACGCTAGTTGGAATTATCTCGGCAGCATATTGGATTTCCGCATCATATGAGACCGTCACGCCATAGCGGCCCAGGCCAATCATAACGGCCAGCAAAAGATAGTTTTCCTTTGGGTCGAGGAATGCAATAAGAAAGCCGGTAACCGTATTGATTATACCACCTATCAGCAGGGCACTGCAGGCCATTCCCTTGCGTCCGATGTTATTTTGAAGTAAGAGGATCGTCCAGCCAGCTGGTAAATAGTTGACCGATGTGTAAGAGAATAACTTAAATGGGGAGGTGCCCAGACCCTCCATGTTGCGGTTGATCACGTCGTAGGTGAGTGTAATGATGACCCTGCATAGTCGATGGGATATCAATATATAACGATATGCTCGCAATTACTTACGATTTCAGCATCAAGAACAGCGTGCAACGACGCAGATACGGTGTTCTAAACATTCCCATGAATGTATCCTCATGATTTGGTAGCTTCTGTTGCTCGTTCATCTTCTCGCGATAGTGCTTGACAAACTCATCGAACACAGAGTCCTCCACCTGCCTCCCATTGAACCTGGCCACCCATTTGAGACTCTTCACTGCCTGATCGTATCTCTGTTTGGTGAGTAGCCACTGAGCACTCTCAGAGAGTATCAGCGGATAGCAGAGCACCCCAAGAGCTGGCAGCGAAGCTATCCACAGATAATGACGCCAGTTGCCTATCCAGATGGCGACCCAGGGGGAGGTCATCAGTCCAAAGCAATAGAAAATGGCGAGAATAATGTTGAGGCCAAAGGTGCGACGTTTTGGACTCAGGTACTCGAACACTGAAAACATGAAATGATAAATATTTTCAAATTCAATATTCAATAATCGTTCAGAAGTTTTTTTTGTCTAACCCAAAATGTACATTAAATAGTACATTGTGTCGGTGGAGAGTCCAGAAACAAATCGAGAAACAGCAAATAATGGAAAGCTATAAGCAAACGAGGTGAGAAAATCTCCAGATGCGCCCGTCAATGTTGCCATCAACAGTGCTGGAAGTCGTCCAATGCGATCCGAGAGATGTCCAAATATGACGGTGCCCACAACTGAGCCAAGGAAAAAGAACGATTGACCTACGGTTGAATGATGTGACTTGTCGCAGACCCATTTCAGCTGTGTAAGTGTAAGTGTAAGAAGTTGCCTGAGTTGCTAAATAAATTGTCAGCATGGCAAAATACCTCAGTTGTAACACTCTCATAGCCCTGTTCACGCTTAAATATCCAGTTCTGGCACTGACCAGTCTTTGCGACAAGACCCGTTCCATTGACCACTGCATCCAATAGTGTGCAGGATTTGTGCGTCACATTTGCGTATACCGATCGAATTTCTGACTCATTTAAATTCTGCAGGTCGTCATGGTAGCACCTTTGAATATTGAAATAGTGCATATAGGTTTGAGTCACTGTTGTGAGGTACTTACCAATGCTCTGGCGTAAATGTTATAAGAGTTTGCGAAAAGTAATGCAAGGAACTGAGTATATTCGTATAACCGTATAATAGTAATATAACATATTGAAAACGCCCAAAACTTCCGCATTTGTCGAGCACACTAGTGAAGTCCATGATTTCACCGCTTGAACGTCTACTTGCAAATTGCAATTGCGGACTAAATTAAGGTTGACTTAAGACTTGTCGCTTAAACATAAAAACGAATCCGATCAAATACTAGATAGCCATCACGATGACACATGTTTCTAAAACAGCTGACTAAATTGGAACTGAAACGCAACTGCTTTGGTATCAGGTAAAATTTACCTATCCCACAATTAAACATATTTTCAATTAAAATAATTTTAGCAATATTATTTATTGTTAGTTTAGATCAGTAGTTGGTATCAGTATTATTTTAACGTTTCCAGCTACATCGATAGCTATATGAGTAAATTCCGTAGTAGTCTTATATAATAAATTGACCCCGACAGCTTAGTTAGCTATCAGCTTAGTGATACAGCCATTTTATTAAAGTCTTAAATTTGATTAAAAATAATGGCATTCGAGTAATGGTAATGCAAACAAATTACTTTGCTCAAATAATAAGAACCCAAAGTCTGCTAGTTGTCAAGGAATAGGCATTCAAATCTATTTGGCGTTCAAACAAATTTTCAGAAAAGTTGTAATGCCAAAGCTTAGAAAAATATTTAAAATACGGCTGTTGGACAAAATGCTGCCCAGTAATTTAAAATTAGGTATAAATAATAAAATAAATAATTGCATGTGCATGTCTTTTGCTTTTTCATATGAAAATAGCTATTTATTTTTAGGCGCCAGTTCGATAGCTTTTCTTTTCAAAAGGGAAAGCTTTTCCGTATTCTCTAATTGGAACGTCCAGATGCCCGTTTTAAAAATTGGTTTTCTTTCTTCGCAAATTAGAGCACGCCTAATAGACAGACAAATTATCAGACATACTGCTGAAGAATGGGAGCTATATAAATATATATATGCCGGAGCGTATGCACTTACAATTTACGTAATGCACGTTTGCAACATTGCTTGATTTGTTTTGATCAATTGTTTTGATCTTCGTGTTACCAAACGTAGAATTGAATAACGGCAACATGCACGATTTCTTGCTTTACTTGTCACATACCAAAACTGGATGAGAAACAATGGTTGGAACTGTCGATACCCTTGCAGGTCTGCGGCCTGCTACAAATTTGCGATCATAAATTAAGCGCACAAAGTGAACATGAAACTAATGACATTATTCGTTCTCGCTTGCAGACTGGAGGACCTGAGGGGATGACTGGGTAATGGGTGCTGGGTACTGGTTATATGGCCAGGGCACAAAGCGTCTGGTAAATTGACCTTTCGCGGCTGCTGGAGCCAGGCATTTGGTTTGCTGTAATTTAATTGTCGACTATCTGACCTTTTGAGCATGCGCAACTTTGTTGTTGTTGCTGTTGCTGTTGTTACTGCTGCCGGTTGCCATTTCATTGGTTTAAATTTTCATTTAGCTGGCACTCATTACGCGTAGTTAAGCTTGGTCCAAGTCCTAGCTGATAATAAGTGAACGTTTCAATTGGGTGTGCAACGAAATAAATTTCCACACAATTGCCACAATCGTAAGCGAATCACAAACAGGGCACAAAATAGAAAGGGCAAATGGCAAACGGGTCCCTTTAAATGGTTTAGCGGAAGAATAACCTTTCTAAGTCGATGTGAGCGATGCCAGCATCAATGTTGAACCCAGGCACACGATTCACCGCCAGGTGGCTGCTGCCCACTCTAGCTAATACATAAATATACCAACATCGTCTTGTTGTTGTTGTTGTTGTCTGGCTGACTGGTTGGTTGTTGTTTGTTGTTGTTGATTTTGCTGGATGTCAGGCTGTCTGGGTGTCTAACTGATTGTGTGCTGTTGTGTGCGCGCCATGTGGCATGATCAGTCTGGGCCTGTTTCTATAGCTGTAGCTGGTCTCTGAGTTGATCTTCAATTAGTTTATTGTTCGCTTGGTATTTTGCACCATGTGAAGCAGGCGACATTTGCCGCCAGGTTTTACTATAAATTGCCAGAACGCCGTCGAAACGTTTGCAGTTGTTGTTTCCTCTTCTGGCGCGTTTGTCGTTCGTTTTTGTGCTGCAATCCTCGATTCGGTTAGCCACGTTCGAAGTGGTGTTTAGTATTTGGGGTCTGGACTACAAAAGGATTGATTAAAGTGGAGAGACACGCAAGGACAACTTAAAACTCAAATGCTGAAGGTGTGTGGAACCCCGTACAAAATTTATGTGTTAATGGAAGTGTTATAAGCTTGTAGTAACTCGGTTGTAAATTGGTAACAACGGATCCCTAGGAGTAAAATTTTAAGAGAACTTTGGATGATCTCAATTAAAGTGTCACCGTTTTAAATTGATATCGTCTCGTTTGCAGATATTTCTGCTGAGCGCTGCGCTTGGCTTAGCTTACGCCGGCAGTTTTGGACCCGGTCCATACTATGGGGGCCCAGCTGGACCCCTACAAACCTATGCGGGCTACGGTCCACATCACGGGCCACAGCCATATGTGGCGCCTGGTGAGTCGGAGGAACAGTTAAATAAATTTCAGGATTATTATATATTTGCCTTGGCCTCACAGCTCCCGCACCCAAGCCAGTTGCGCCTGAACCGTATGATCCTGATCCCAAGTACTCCTTCGGCTACGACATCCAGGACGGATACACCGGTGACCTGAAGAGCCAACATGAAACGCGCCACGGTGATGTGGTCAAGGGCAGCTATTCAGTGGTGGATCCAGATGGCACCAAGCGCACAGTGGACTACACAGCCGATCCCCATCACGGCTTCAATGCAGTTGTACGCAAAGAGCCGCTCTCTTACAAGCCATTGGCTGCACCAGGACCTGCTCCACATGCGCTGCTCGCAGGTCCGGCGCCAGCACCTGCATTGCCGGCAGTGCCCAAGGCCCCGCTCCCGCTGCTCTCCTATCCCTACGCCTTGAGCCACTTACATCGTACAGCACCAGCACCGGCTCCAGCACCGGCACCAGCACCAGCTCCTGCTCCTGGTCCCGTAGTTTCCACCGCACATTTCCATGCTGCCTATCCAGCACTTGCCCATAGTCCCTATGCCCAATATCCCGCTGCTCTTCCCGCATCTGCTGCCGACCCTCACCACGCCTACTATCATCATTGAGATCCGCAGGCATTTGGCAACTAGAAGGCAATCTATTTCTAGCTTTCTCTGATCTTTGATTAGTTCTGACTTTACTAACACCACCTCCTATATGTGTTTATCTGTTTCTCCGATTTCATTCTGCTTTCTAAACGGTCCACTCTATTCCTTGTTGTGTTCGTCATTGGATGTTGGTAATACATGCTTATATATAATATTAAATATATACGCGGCCTTATCTCACAAGTTTTGCTTAATATAAGCTCAAATACTTTAAAAATGTATGTGTTGTTATATTTCAAGTATAAACTTAAATTTGCTGGCAAGGTTTTTGATCTTCAAATAAAATTAAAGATTGAATAATATCGATGTTTTGATTAAAGTTCTCTGCGAACTAATTTTAAGATACTTGTGTACCTTGGACAGAAATACTTCGAAATATATGCTGTAATAATTAAACTTATGGAGTAAAAGAACATTGATATGTATACAAATGATTAAAGAGTTTCTTAAATACTTAATACAGTAGTGATATATCCGATTCCTTCCTTCTAGAATAGGAACATTGTGCATAGCATACTTTCAGAAGCACTTTAACAATAAGCCAACTGGCTGCTGTTGATTTTGATTTATATCCCTAAAAGTTTAATTGACTTATTCATTAGTATAATTTATCGTTTACGTTGTTCCAAGAATCTAAAATTATAAAATCAAGATAAAATATATCTGTTTAGATAGCCTATTTAGAAACTATGTTGCTATACCCTTGCACAGGCTGTTACGATTAGCAGTTTGTGTGGCGTATAGAGACGGAAACGACTCCGACCCTATGAAGTATTTTTCTGTATGTCATCGTGGCTTTCTATCCAAACAAGTATTTTATCGTTGAAACTATTTTGGTAAAACTGGATGAATTTTAGGTAGCGATCTCGATTCCGGTATGTAAAGTATTCAAATTTCGGTATTTTTCAAAGTTTATTTTTTATGGTAAAACGTAATGGTACAATACTTAAGTTTTAAAAAAAGAGATAACTGTTCAATCGTATACAGTACAGGTGGCAATAAAATAATCAACATCCGAAAAATATATCATATAGCTCGGTTATGGCTGTCGGTCTGCAAGAGTACTTTGTCTTTGGCGTGTCTAGAATAATCGCTTATTGTTGCTATGAACCCATTACAAATTGGTAAGAAGGATTTAATGAAGAAGTCTCCAACACTGCCAAGAATATTTTTACTTGATCAAGAAAAATAGCCAAGTCGATCTAGCCATATTTCTGTCATAATTCTTTACACCCATTTTATAGATTGCATTTATACTTAATGGGATCGGAGATAGTTACATGTGCAAGTCGTTACGACTTTTGATAAATATAGGTTTGGGTTATGGGAATCTTATCTCTCTTATCTGATCTCTTTCGACTAGATAATTGTTATGTAAAGATTATGGATTTGAGCTAGCCTAAGAGTATTAGTCGAAGTAGTATAACAAGGAAAGGAGTACTGGGTTGATTCGAATAATATTTATACTACTAAATGCAATACTAAATATTTAAAAGAGTAAATTCAACTCTTACTTTATGTTTAACGGTCCCTTCAAAAAAATATTTTCGGTAGCATACGATCTTTTGGTTTATTTGGTCGGTTTATAAGTTATGTTCTATGTAAATGTGGAGTTACAGAGGTAAAGACACTTTACGAACACGTGTTCTTACAAAACCAAAACTCTCAACTATTAACATTTTCCAAACGTTTTTTAACAATGAGAGCAGTTATTATTAATTTTTATTTTAAGTAGTAAGTTCTGATGTTAATTCTCTAATATTCTGCACATCCTTAAAGCTGGAGCATTGAAACTTGGAACAAATAATGCTGTGAACAAGTGATTTGTTGTAGAATTCGCATTAGTTATCTTGAATTCGATTGCTTCCTACAAAAGAGTGTAAATAAAAATAAAAATATTGTCCAAAATGTAAACCATAGGCTTACTTACATAGTAATGAATTTTTAGAGTTTTCCATAATTGCAATATTCCGACAAGAATGAGAGTTGTGCGCATGTTGAGAAGTTTCGATTGCCTTTGATTATTAAGTGTACAATACATTTATTTTATACTTTCTTTTATTTAATTTAATAGGATTTGAGGCAGACACAATTAGTAGTTACCTTAGTTACCTTGTATATTAATATACCCCGAACTCATAAAAAATAATGGGTAAAAAGGGTACAATAATTTTTTTGTTTTACTATTTTATTATATTCTGATACCGAGGTATACTCGGTTATTGGTTTTGTGCAATGTCCGTCGTGCTGAACGAAACTTTTTTCGACACTTTTAAAGCTACAGCCTTGGAACTTGGAGCATATAATGGTGTGTGTCCGTGTCAAAGTGTATAAATTGGAGTGCTACGTCCACCAGGAGGCTAGGAAATCGATCAAATCGATATTGGCAAATCGATAAAGCCACATATCTCCTACAATTTTAAGGCTACAGACATCGAATTTGGTTAATAGGTTGTTGGCAATGTCCTTCAAAGATCAGCATATGCCACGCCCACCGCCACAACCCCCACGCCCCTTGCTTATACAAATTTTAAATGACTATCTTCTGCAGTATTTGAGTTAGAGCCGTAAAATAAGGTAGGTATGTTACTTTAATTGCCGATAACTTTTTCATGGCCACGTCCACACCTGCGCCAAAGCCGAAATTTTGTAAAGTGTAAATCGATAAACCCGCATACCTCTCACAATTTTGAAGATAGAGTGACCAAACTTGGAAGGTGACTTGCTGGTAACCGCCTTCAAGGATCGGTATATACATTTTCCGACCACGTCCACATCCGCTGCCCCCAGGAACTTTGGCCCAGAGATAGAAAAGTATGTTACTGGTAACTCGCCTAAGAGATCGATGAGAAATTGGATGGCCACATCCACTCCGCCTCCCTAAGCCGATACACCTGTTAGTGTATATCGGTAAGATCATATATCTCACACAATTTGATAGCTAGAGTCCCAAAATCTGAAAGGTAAATTGTAACATCTCAAAACTTCTCGTCACCAAAAACGATAATATTCTATATCTCCCGCAATTTATTAACGACAGTTACCAAATTTAGAAGGTAGGTTACTAACATCATACCCCCACATTTTTTTTTGGCCACGCCCATTTCCTCCTCCAAAATTACCAGAAGTCTATATCTCCTGCAATTTAATAGCTACGGTTATCAAATTTAGAAGGAAGATTACTAGGAACCTTCTCAAATAATTTTTTTGGCCACGTTTACTCCCGCCTCCAAAATTTTCCAAATCTTCAGTAATGAACGAGTTACAGTTATCAAACTTCGAAGAAACGTTACCAGCTTATATTTACCGCAATTTGAAAGGCAAAATTGGACAGTAATTCTTGGTAATTCTGTGTAACTTGTTACTACTAAGCTAATTTTATGGTATCAAAGTATTTCGCTGTCGGTTACGCCCGACAGCAACGTTCTCTCTTGTTTAAGCTTTCAAGCTATCTTGTTGAAATTTGTCACTTATCCAAACAGAGCCCTGCTGCCATTGGATAAGCCGGTCTTAAATGTGGAACAGTCAACAGCCAGACCATAATCTACGAGCGACTATTGAGCGACTATTGAGCGACCCCTAAATAATTATGGAGTAATATTGTAATGTTCCAAAGTGGTGTAAGATACAAAGTTAAAGAAAACATTTATTTGTAACGCAATTTATGTATTATATTTTGTATTGTATCAACTTTTTGTAATTGTCATATATGTTTATATTATATGATGTAGTATAATTATCCCATTATGTATAAATAGATGTATGTATGTGTGTTTTGTATATAAACGTTTAAGTATTATTTGTTGATATTATTGTTAATATTTTTTTTTTTGCATGTTTGCTCATGTATATGTATGTGTGTGTACGCTTTATTATATCTGTGTATATATATACTTTCTACCTTTTGCAGAGCAGATTGAAATGTTTAAGATCTCATAGATAGATTTAATCTGCCACAAGTTACAAATTAAATTGATATATTTGTTTTCTTCGCATTGGTCTTGCAGAATCAAATAAAATGTACACTGTTGTAAGATTATAGTCCTTAGTTTTGTAGTAAACGGTATCAAAAGATAGGTACAATTGAATTTGCTCGTACTGATGTACAAGCTACCACTAAAACAATTTTGGAGCTAGTTCAAGCCCCTTGTCTACTTTCGCTTCTAGGTAGTAGAGAAACAAACAAAATGTAATTTAGGTTGTAATTTATATAGATAGTTGCGATATTATTATTCATAAAAATACGTTTCTCTAGTGAATAGGTAAGCATTTAACTAAGGGCTTGGGTGAACGTGAAAGATATGCTTCAATGCTTTACAATTGGACATAATTTTGCTAGGTGAACTTAGAATTAGGTAGTAGGATTTTGTGTATTTATGTGACATTGAGTTCCGCTTAATATTTCGAGCATGTATTGTAGCATATGTATGTATAAATACATATTTATTAAATAAGGAGCTAATATAGCACGTAATATATTTTGTATAATTTTCGTTGATTGTTTGGCTTTGTGTCTATCTTTATATCATATAGTAATTCATATCTTGGCATATAGAACACCGTATTTATCATAGACAACCACTTGATGCACTGAAGACTATTTGGGATATGCTTGAATTGCTTTACTTCATTTTTATTTATATCTTTTTCTTTTCCTTTATCTTATATAATTAAATATAAAATTATTCCAAAGCTGGCAGCTTTTACAGTTGTATTCTAAAATAATAATTGTGGCTTGCCTGATAAACAGCAATAACTCAATTATTTTGCAAATTGAATGGAATGGAAAACGACAGTTTTCTTCATTATTGATGTAGTTTAAATAACATGCATGCATTTAAATTCGTGTTGAATATATGTATGTAGTTTTAGCTTAAGTCAAATAGCATATTTTTGCATTTTAAGGATATGTTTACTAATGATTTCATATGTTAATTTGATGATGTATCTAGCGTCTGGTGTAAGCTTTATTTGTTAGCTCTTTTGGTTCATTTGTTTTTAACTTGAAACGGAGGGTTTTAAACTGTTGGTTATTGGTAGGACTTCTTTTCATGATTCGGTTAGAAAAATATTCGTACTGGGTAACTTTTCTACGCTGATTGTGAATTGTGAGAAAGATCATATATATGTATATATACTATGTATGGATTTTCATAGTCAGTTCTTGCTCTATGCATTAAATTAAATAAAATGTAACTATATTATTTTTAAATTTGTATTCGATTATGAAAATAAAAATTGTATTCGTATATGTTATAAATATAATTCTTTGTGTTGAATATTGTCGATAGTTGAGAATTTTTTTAAAAACAAACTAGAGATTGCCATTTAAAATAGTTCGTTGGACGAAATTAAAATATTAATTTAAAAGATTCATGTGTTTTGAATTTTTAAAGTGCTACTATTTACTGTTGTGGATATTCTAATAAAATTATTTATTTGCCTTTGGTCATATCTGATTTATATTTTGTATGATATATGTATGAATTTATGTTTTACATATAAACGTATATGTTATATGGTATGATTATGTTTGAATTCTTTAGACATCTAAAACCGTTCGATTAGTTTGGTATTTAATGCAATTTGTATTGTATTTATCGTTTTCACATATGCGTATTTATGTAGGTAAAGATGGATGTAATTTGACTAGTAGTATTAAGTCGAATTATATTGATTTATCTAGTAAACATCTCAATCAGTTGATTTACGGGTCATTTGTTTGCTTTTATTGTGATAGTAAAGATCATAGAAAATGTGGTCCATTTGGAGATCGTATTCGTCAATATTACATTGATTAAGTTCGGGGAAAACCAATTGGTCTTGTATCTACAATTCAAAAATAGATGTATATAAGAATGGGTAAACCTGAAATTGTCAAATAAATAAATTAAGCTAAATAAAAATACAAAATAAATTGTTTTGAATAATGACTATTTTTTTAATTAAAAACATTGCAGCACACTTTTAGTTAGCACGTACATTATAATACAAAATACACATTAATGGAATATTAATAATTTACAAATTAAACTGAAATAAAGTATTTTTTATTCAAAGTAAAATGATAAAGTTGCAATTAAATTCTTATTAAATATGCTTCACCATTTTTTTATTTAGCGTATACAAAATACAAAGTAAGTGGGAACATCAAAAATCATTTTTATCCTTTGTTGCCTTGTTTCGAAAAGAGTGCATCTATATCAGTTTTGCAAGTGCTCGCAGTTGATTATTCATTATTATTACGATGGTTTTTAGACTCTTAACTATACTTTATATTTCTGCATTATTTTCAGCTTTTAATATGTATCGTTCACTTACTATTAGGGATATTTTCTGATAACTAATAAAAAACTTTCAGCTTTATTTCTTTCTTTCTGCTTCCTTTTCTTTTTGTATATTCATATGTATAAATATATGTACCACGATATTTATATGTTAAGTTGCGTGTTGTAATTATATATAAGTAAATGTATATGTAAGTATATGTATACTGTTTAGAATTTGCTTGCACGCCAGCCATTACAATGAATTATCCGTAAGTTGCGTTTCTATTTCTTAGTATTGCCTTGCATCTTTAAGTATCGAAACTTCTTCATTTCCTTAAATCCACACAAGTTTTCTCCGTATTTGTGGTCGTGGTCGTCGTTGTATTCGTAGTCGTGCAGCTGCTCGTCTCATCCAAGTCGTCGTTGATTGGCTCGATTTCCTGCTCCGTTATAACAGTGACCAAATTTGTGGCGCCATCTGTTTCCAAAGACATGGAAATAAATTTTGTCAGATATTTGTGGTAATTATTTTTAAATATTTCATATTCTGTTTTATTTTTTTAAGACAACATAGTTGTTTGCATTACCGCTTTGACATACACTCCAAACGTTCTAGCCAAGATCTATGGTCATTAGGTGGGCAATGGCAGGGGAATTAAGCAAGAGAGATTTCATATTAGTTTTTCGGATTAAATAGAGTTTGGCTTTCAAACACAAATGTACAAACAACATCAAAAGCAAAAAGAGCTCTAAAAAAAATTTTAATCTACATATCTTAACAGAAGAACAAATCAACCAACTGAAAAAACTGAGGAAAAGTACAAAAATTCAAAAGAATTAAGTAATTTTCAAGATATTTCCCCACCATTCATGTGCTGTTGCAACAAACTGGAATGCGGCGGAGGCGGCGGACGTCCATCGTCACCCAAATAGTTTGACGTCTGCATGCCTATGTTGGGCATATCGATGCCACCGTTGCCAGTAAGGATTCCCCTCTGAGCGTGCTGCTGCTGCTGCTGATGCAGTGCGTTTAAGGCCCCGCTCAACTGGTTCTGATGATGCTTGGCGGCCAGATTGGCCAGTTGCGGGTGCTGCTGCAGCTCGTTGCACAGACCGGGCAGCATGATACCCTCTACATATGCATATAGATATGGCGAATCACAGATATATATATTAGGCATGATCGTAAATGGATTTAATGCGGGATAACACTTTAATATAGCAGCGCTATAGAGGCTATAAATTGTACTTGTTGTTATTAAGTAAGTAACCCAAATTTAATGCTGATTTATAAGATTTGATCTATTTTCTGGTTTTGCCTAACAATTCAGGGAATAAATGTTATTTCCCGATTATAGAAAAACTCAAACTATAACTTTTAAACTCAACAATCTTCCAAATAGTAGCTTACAGATTCTTTTTTATTTTAAAATTGAAAGTAATCATTATTATTATTATTGACGTTCCCTGAATTCAATGATAATTGGGCAGCTCGCACTTACTTGAATTGTGTTCGTAGTGGCCATTCTGCTGATTCATCTTGGCCGGGGAGTCGGTGTTCAGCTGCGAGGCAGTCACCGAGCGCGTTTGCAATGTGTTTGGCTTGGAGTTGAGCGCTGAACCCGGTGCGCTGGGTAGTCCGCTGCTGGTGGCACTGCCGCCGCCGTTGGGCTCGTCGAGCAGCTGACGCAGACGCTGCAGTTGCGCTTCGAGCTGGCGATTGTGATCTTCGAGTATTTGCATGCGTGCCTCCAGGCGACCCTTGTGCTGGCGAAGCAATTTCGCCTCGGCCATCATATCCTGCTGGCAAGAATAACAACAAAAGTTACTTTGATTTGTTTGGATGCATGGTGAGTCTTATTTGCTAACCTGTCCGTGCTCGCCTTGACTGGCCAGGCCCGCCGTGCTGGAGCTGGAGTGTTGCATTCCGTTGGAGTCGTCGGGTGTGCCGCTTTGTTGTTTGCTGCACAGTTGCTGGTACTCGGCCTGCAAATTGGAATTCTCCTCCTCCAGGTCGCGTATGATGGCCTCCAGTTCCTCGCGCTGCTCCGCATCCATAGCGGCCATCACCTGTACCGGTGACTTGGGAGCGCTGCCATTGTTCGTGGGCAGCGCCTGACAATACTGTGCTATCAGCTGATGCTCATCATCGCTGTCCGGCGTCGAGTTGGACCCAGTGCCGCCATACTCCACTTGTGCCAGTCGCGACGCATACATCTCCAATCGCGAGTGCATATCGCTCTGCAGCTGATGTGTCGTGTGTTGCGGACTGGGCGCCGGGCTCTCAAGTGCATCTCCTACGAATGGTTACAACGCTTACTTTTAGTAAAAGTCAAATCGATCTATCAAAATGCAAGTGCAATTGTATATACTTCAATTTATCATTGAATTCCAAAATAACATAAATACTTAAATTTCTATAAAATATCGAGTTCCTGAGAGCGAGGAAACGAATCTATTTTCCTCAGTTTTCTATTATTAAATGGTTCTAAAGAAATATTTGAGTTATTGTAATAATAGTAATCCTAAAATTACATATTTGATCGCTTCATATTTTTTTAAATTTATTCTGTTTTTTTGTTCAAGTCAAGCAATGACTAAATGAAAAATTAATTAATATATCATTTTCTTAACACCGCTAAATAGGAAATATATAATATTCTGTCACTGTACCCACCTTCTAGAACACTCTGCACGGGCAGGTAGCCGACGCGAGGATGCTTCTTAAAGTATTTGCGACTCTTGAATTTGTTTTTGAGTGCACGCGTGAAATCGCGCACGTCCTCGGTGGATGTGGTCTGTGGAATGAGAGATGAAAACAATTGTTGTCGAATGTGTGTGTTTAATTGGGTGATCATTGGGCATACGCACCGTTGTGCAGTATTCGTGCATGGGGTGCGTTAGCTTGTGATTCTTGGCATTGCGTCCAAAGAAGAAACACTTTTGGCACATGTCGAAATTGAAGCACTTGAGACAGCGATAGCGGAAGCCTACAATTGGATACTCCTTGCATATGTTGCACTTGGCCTGATGCTTCGCAGCTTCCGCGGCGGCCAGACGATGCAGCACTGGCAACCACACAAGACTCTGCGGCTCGTGCTGTAACCAGCCGAGGAAGTGTTGCAACTCAATTGAGATTTCCTGATTGCCATCGATGGTCTCCTGGGAGATGCCCGCCTGTTCCAGGCATGAACGCACCGAGGGCTCAATATTAGAGCCACCAAATGCGGCCACCTCGCCCAGTTGACGCGGCACCTGTAAGCAATTAATTGGATTATATACCTAATACATTGTCTGATTGCCACTCCACACACTCACCTGTATGCAGTCGTGCAGCAGCAGTCCCAAGCGTCGCTGATCCGCCCTTCGCTCCGTGTCAGCGACCAGGCGGAACAGATAGCGATACTTTTCCTCGAGATGACCCCTGCAGAGCAGCACGAGCCCCACCTTGAAACTGAGCACGCGTATCTGACCGGTGCGCTGCGAGTCGTACACGTTCAGTATCCAGTTGATGGCCAGGTCGAGCATTAGTGTCAAATCAATTTTATCGATTGTCACATAGAGCGAATGCAGCACCGTCGTCATGTCCGGTATATCGATAAGCTTGTCGTTCTGTGCCCGGAGTCCGTGACGATCAAACGATTCACACGCGGTGGCCATTGAAATGCGGTCAAGTGCTAAAATTAGAAACATATCACATTAAGAATGAGATGTAATTATTATATGTAGACCACAAGTATACAACGCCTTCGAGAAGGATTAGAGGGGGTTTCAATTTAAAATACAAAAATAATTTCATTGAACTCTTTAGTAATTTTCCAGATATTTTATTAACAGTCAAAACATGAAAACAATTTGATTGCTGGTGAAATCAATTCACTATGTCCGATGGAAAATACTCTGACAGCTTTGGGTGCATCCAAAGAGACATCAATAATAAATAAGATAAACATACATATCTTTGTATTTTAAAATGAAATTAAACTGATTTTAAAGTAAATATTCAATTGTTGTTGTTACCTTTTTTTAAACACTTAAGCCTTAATATTTTATTATTTGTTCATAGAAAATAAGGGTCAGGAATTAGATATTATTTTGAATTATAATCACATATGAAACCCAAATTTATTTTCATTTTTAAAAAGTAAAATAGTTATGTGGCCGCGTATCTTTCATATAATGTTTGAGTTACTTTGAATAACTTTTTTAAGCTTCAAAGGGTAAATTAAATTTGCACACCCCATTACAGCAAATTAATTTATGACCTGTACGTAATATCACTGCCTGCAATCAGGTACTTACCCAGTCGGGTTTGGACGGCTCGCAGCTTCATGGCCGTGCGATATGCTGAGAAACGAATCTCATTAAGGTCAGCCAGCCCCTTCATCAGTTCAATCATCTCCGGGTGGTCCCAGTGTGTGGTCTCGCGTTCGTGGCTGCATTATGGAGATTTGGATGAGTTTGGTTCAGTTTTAATTGGCCGCCGTTTAAATAGAAGCTGTGGGACTAAGGTGTTGATACTTACTCGATGTAGTAAGGCACATTGGCGGCGGTTGTGGCACGTTCCCAAGGCGGCTTAACACTTTGCCCCAAATTAGGTAATGGCCCAATGGTGCCACTGTTCGATGTGTTGCGACCTTCGTCGCCGTTCTCGTGTGTATGATTTGCGCCTGCCTGGCACAAAACCTTTTGACGCTCGTCCATCGCAATTTGCAGCAATTTCATGCTGTGACAAATAAAGCAATCAAAAAAATAAAGTAATCGAAGCGAAAATTTCGCAATATACACTTACCGTGTATTCAAATCCTCTAGTTTGGATAAACATGGCGTCGGCACCAGCACCTGATTGGCGGTGAAGAAGGATTGCTGCTCGTTGCAATCATCCAGTAATGCACTTGCTGTTGTCATCTTATCACGGAGGCGCTGCAGCTGCTGCATCTGTTCATTTGCCTCATCCACAGATGTGGGCGTCTGCCAGGCATTCTTTGTTTGCTCAGCCAGGGCGACACGGGAGCTCAAATCCTCTAGGACCTTCTGGAATTGGCGCATTTTCTGCAAGAAATAAGATTTAAATATCGAAGTTAGTAATGTTTATAAATTTGTGTTATTTTGCTTACGAAAGTCATATAAAAGTTTCATATAGTAAATAATAATAGCATTGCTGCGTCGTAAAATGGTCGTGCATTAATATTAAATTTGAAATATACCCATTTTGTTCCGTTGAATGCCCTTGCGTCTTAAATTTAGAAACTATTATTTTATTGATAATACCCCACGACTCTACAAAATCGATAAACAAATCTATCTCAAATGGCATAAAAAGACATAATATTAAAAATATATTTTTTATGTACCTCAAAAAGCATAATATACAAAAAACGAAAATTTGATGGGGATTTAATGGAATTGGAAAAACATTGTATTGCTGAAAGGCGAAACGTTACTCTGAATTAAAATAATGTATCTCAAAACAACAAATGATATTGCCCAGAAACTACTTTCCGAAGTCCATTCTAAAATAACACCTTTAAGTAAAACCCTTGTAATTGGCATCGAGTCTTAAAATTGTTGGCGAACATCTCAGAAGTACTTAAGCTGAATTGGACATTTGATAATTGGGGGAGTATATGTAATCTAAATTTGTTTTAAAAGGGCAAGGGCAAGGATTTCGACCAAATGTAAAAAGAAGTTCCAACAAAAACATTTATTTTGACTCTTCACAACTTTCTACACAAAAAAAAAATATATATATAAATATACAAATAAGTACAGTTGCACTTGAACAGTCTACAAAACAATTTAAAGGAAAATTGGACAATATAACTAGGTACTGCACTTTAAACGATTTAATCCATATAATTGCTGGGTCACTGGTATTTCCTTGTCGAGCATTGTCGAATTTAGTATTTTGTATTTATTCAATATTTGTTTAAATAAAATTCACATTTTTGATTCTTTCTATATTAATGTGTATGTTTAATATTTATTCCGGAATATTTTTAGCTTGGCCTCAAAATATTTGCACTTAAGCAATTAGTATTAGGTTGCCGTAGATCAAACAGACTCTTGTTTATCTTGTTTTGCATTTTAAAATATTTTACATGCTATTTATTATGCATTAGTGCTTAAATTAAATAAAGTGTACTCCGAGGAAATCTATGTAGGTGTGCATGTATATTTAGCAAGCCCATTTAAAAAGTATTGGTCTGGAGCTGGCTCTTCTTTTCAAAGTTAGTTTATATGCACATAGCTGCATTAGAAGGGATAAAATATAATTTACTAACACCAGTTAAGGGTAGTTGCATATTATTTACATAGACACACACACATACACACATACATGCATCTGTGAATCTTTATATACATTGCGTTCGGCTTGTCTTATCCATTGTCCCAAAATATTTGCTGCCTACTTTTCGGCTGACTTGTTTAATTATCTCGAGAAGCAAAGTCAAGCAGTCGAGGTAGCCGTTTAGCGGTGATGAGTATATTACTCATACGCCACATTGCTCGCATTGTTGCTGCAATAATAGAGTAATGTGTTTATGGCCGGGCATTGTTGTGGCTGTGTATTAAGCGAGCTGCAATTTGAAGTTGGGCATGCATAAGTAAATCAAAGGCATGTTTTCTCCTCCGCAAACTCCTTTGTGTGCATGCTCTTCATTAGCAATAAAGAACACTTTAATTTTTTTGCACAGGGGGCTGAGGATGCGGGGCTGCCAATTGGAACGCTTTGTAAGTGGATGCTAGCATCGGGGAGCTGAGGTGGGAGCATTTATTACAGCATGGCACACGTTTCATTTTGCACATTTTCATCATTTTCGCTTTTCAATTTCACTTTGGCAGACCATTTGGCGGAGCTGCTGTCGTCCCCTTGGAGTTTGCAACACAAACTTTCTTTTCCAGCCATTTTGCATGCAAATGCATGCAACAAGCAAAACGCATTTACCTGTGCACAGCTTTTAACTTTCAACTTTGCCGCAGTGCACCATGCATTCAGCAGGATGCTAGGCTACCACACCGTGCGTGGAAAGCAACTCCTGCTCCATTCCGTTCTCCATTTACTTTATTATTTAATTTGGTTATCTTCGTGCTGCTTTCTAGCTATCGTCTTTTTGTCCTCCTTTATGTACACACATACAAATGCGTAATTCTGTTTTCTTGAAGTTTGTGTTTATTATATTGAACTTTGTAGCTTCTGCTGGCTGCCAGGGGCAAGTTTATGTTCCATAATGCATGCATGGCCAATGTACATGTGCTGGAGCCGAAAGGAGTTCATTGAAAGGATTTGTGGACAATGGGCCTGGCTCTGTTTGCCATTTAACTCCTACTTGCATTTTAGTTTTGTACCACACTCTTTATGAATTTGTTGTGATTGTTTGAAACTTAATTAGAGAACTTAATATTTTCAAATGTTTTTTTTTTTATAGAAAACGCATTTTAGATTCAACTAAAATATGAATGCACATTTTGGGGGGTTTAATTTATATACAACTTTAATATAAAAAGTTAATCAGTTATTGCAAATTATCTTTGATGATAATGGAAAATGACTTCACTCTCATTCTCATTTAAAATTTGTGTGGCTTTTTAAATATCGAGTTGGTTTATTATTTAAAGCAATTATTCATTCATTTTGTGGTTTTACGTAGGCATTAAGGTTTACATTATTCCTAATATTATTATTATGAAATTGTTTTCTAGAATTAAGTGTAGTCTGCTTTCTGAAGCAATCTGATTTGTCATGAAAAGTTTTGCTCACTTGCTAATTAGGGGCAAGCATAATTGAAGTTACAATTTACTGCGCTTCCTTTTGCCACAATCAACCGCAACAAGAACAACAAGTGGGGGAAACCACTTTGTATTGCTGTTTAATTAGCAAAAGGGGGCACAAACAATAGAGGAAAATTACGATACTGAGGCTTCACTTGTCGCCGCAAATGGTTTGAAGCTGCAATCAATAATTTGATGTTTGCAATAAATATGCAGCGTGGCGCGCCCAGTTTCGCCTTGCCCTGTCCTGCCCCGCCCCCGTCTGCTTGCAACAGCACTAATTAGAGGCAACAAGGCAACGTTGCCGCAACAATAGCAAGAAACCGTTTGATATAAAAGTCATTAGAAGAACTACACAGTACGATAGGAGGGCAATGCCCTCTGAAAGCCCAAGTATGTCAGAAAAAGTTTGTGCAGTTTTAATCAACGGGAACAAAGCCACTGCCAAAGCCAAAGTCAAAGCCTGAAAGATGCGTGATAATGTGCTGCGAATCCTTGCAAAGCAATATGCCTGCTTTCGTTTCCCTCTCTATCCTCCGTACAAAAATAAAACTAAAAAAAATGTGCAACACGGTGCAAGTTATTACGTGGCACTTGCCAGGCATCGCAGAAGCTAATGCGGCGGCTCCCATATCATTCCGACCGCTGGCCAACTAAAAGAGCAAAACTAAAACTGTCGTCATACTTTCTATGGCATCTCAGCACGTTGGCGACCTGGTGAGTTGAGCACCTCAGGGCATCCACTGGTCGCTTTCTTATTAAAAATGCCTTTACTTGCTCCCACTGAGTGCATTTTATGGCGTCTGCTGTCGTTTGGCATGTCAAATGGCTTAGCAATTGACCAGCCGGAATCATATCAAATTTACTTCCATTGTCAGTTTGATTTATCGGAAATCTGTTTTAATGCCAGCACTAAGCCTTAATTGACATATTGAGTGGTAAGAAAAAATTGTTGATTAAACGAGCTCACAGATAATTTCAACATAATCATTGTTCAAATAATCCATCTTCATTCATGTCAAAAATATGTACATTACAAAATAATGTTGAGAAAATAATGTTCTAATGTAAGACTTCAGTTGTTTCAGTTATTTACCAATCAGACATATTTGAGATATACAAATTAAATACCACAAATACATTAAGACTCAGATGTGTGAAAATATCTTAAATTAAACTAGAGGACAGTATTTATTTATAATAATTTTTTAAAAGTATTAATTATGATCTTATATAAAATATTTTCATGTTAGGGGAAAATATTTTAAAGGTGATTGCCCCCCCTAAATGGAAAGCTTTCAATTTGCTTTCGTTAGGACTTTTGTAAGTAATGAGTCCATAAATCGGATGTTTAATTAATTGAGATTATAAATGAAATTGCGCCGCTTAAAATCGTTCAATTTCATCGCTGGAAAAACTGCAGTCGGAATTGCAGTTACATTTACAGTTGCCAGCGAAATGTTCATATATATAGATATGTGAGCTACGGACAACCCTTATTGGGGAGAAGTGGCTGAATTTTAATCAAGATTTTATATGCAGTCAAGCGAAAGCGTAGGAGACCAAAGACTGTGTTTAATTAAAATCGTATAGCTTAAATATGCCATTCTGGAAAATGAAGCAACTACTTATGCATCTTTTGCATATATACATATGTTCAGTAAAGTACAACGAGCTGTTTAGCCAAGAAACAAACCTCATTTTCATCACGCAACATGCCAACAATTTGAAGAAACATGCGTTCCGCATCGTTCTGTGGATCGCAGTTCGAGTAGGTGTCGTCCATGAGGGTGATGTCACCGATGCGGCAGTGCAGCTGCTCCTCCGACGAGGATGAGTACAGCGACAACATGTTGCGTCGTCGGCGCTCGTCCACAACATGTTGCAGTGCAACATCAACATTTAGCGAATGCGATGCATGTGTTGTTGCTGCTGCTGTTGTTCCAGTTGCTGTTGTTGCTGCCTCATCATCGGCATCGGCCTCATCGCAGCCACTGCTGCTGAGCTGGGAGTAGCTGAGACTCAGTTGACTGCTCTCATCGTGTTCCTCCTCATCGTGATCCAACTCTAACTCGAGCTCCAGCTCGTGCTCCAGCTCGGTGCCACCCGTGCCACTGTCGCCGCTCTGAGAACTGGCCTTGGCAGCAGTCGCAGCAGTCGCAGCAGCATTGGCAGCACTCGGCGCAGCAGCCGCTGCATTGGCAACCACTACCGCGTGATGATTGTAGGCTTGAGAGTCGCCGCTGCTGCTGCTGCTGCGACTGCGACGCTTCATCGAG